AGGAGCATATTAATTTTTGTCACAGGTAACTTTCTCATTTTGCATTCTCTTGCAATGTGAAGATACATTTGCTAAATCTAATTGTTTGAAATATCATCTATAGGGTGAAAGTTTCAAGATTGCACTGAGAATTTAAATGTTTTGAAGGTTTTTTACTATGAACTGTTACTGTGAACTGTATGCATATTAGTTTGTAGTCAATCTTGAGCAGAACTTTTTCCACAAAGGAACATAAACGTTGTTGGCAAGATTTTCAATTTTTGTAAGTAATCACTAATTTAATTTTCTTCAATAAGAATTTTTGTATGATCATTTTTAAATTTGTAACAACAGGATGTTCATTTGTACCCAAGAAATTCATTTATTTTAACTTTTGAAAAGTATTTCAATCACCTCAACAATAATATCTTGAATATGTTTCCCATTTCAGGAGAGTTTCTATTCTATATTATGTATAGCGAATATGTAGAACTTTTCTAAAGCCACATCCACACATATCTAAATTTTGGCATGCATCTTGGTGCCGCGAAACCTCTAAAATAATCTCCTTATTAAAATTTTGAAACCTTTTGTCAACCATATTGATTATTTTGAGATGGATATTTTCTGCATACATTTATTGGAGCTGTAGATCTTAAATGACATTATGCCCGATTTTTTTTTTAACATCTGAGTAATTACACTAAGGGAAAGAAAAGTTTTAGTATGCTGCACATGCCCACTAGTCTTAGGAAGAGATACAGCTGAGTTGTTTGAAAAGCCACAGTTTTGTTGCCATGTGCTTTGGCTGCATTCTGTGCTGTGTTAAGGAAAGGATGCATTTCAGGTGTACACCTGCTTTCTTTGATGGTTTGGTTTTGTAATTGTTTGCTGCTTGTTGTGGGTCATCACAACTCTAAAAACTAGCTGTGAAGGAAAATGACGAAGTTAATGTAACATTTGGCATCCCTTTGCCATAAGATACATACTACAAAACTAAATCTCGAACATTCAATATTTGAATTGGTTATTTTTAAAAACTCTGTAAGTCACTCTCCTTTGCATTTTCGCTTTTTGGGAGAAAATAGAAGCTGCAGCATATGTTCATTGTTCCATGTGTAAATCTCGTACATCAGATGAATGAATGGCCGTAAGGAGACTGCAAAGTTGTTTAGTTTTGAAACTCAGTGAGTCCTTGACTTGCGGGGTATGTATGTATACAGTGTGTATGGCTTAAGGTATCATTGACAGAGAGATTGGTTAGAAGGGATGTCCAACATGCAGAATTTTCCTTTGCACTATCATAAAAACATATTTCAAGTAACCATTTTTATCATACGAATTGTTTGATGTAGATATACATTGCCATTTCACATAATATACCTATGACAAATAACAAATTGAATCTGTAAATGTGTATTTATTTACATGTTAAGATAAAAACTTCCTGATTAATTTTTGAAATCCTGTAAGTTATGTACTTTTAAATAAGTCCAGCATCTATTGTACAATTGATACAAGTAAATTATATGTCTCCCTGGCATTCGCAATCCAGATTTTTGCATCAGAAATTAAAAAAAAACAGAAAATTTCTCTATATACTCCATAAATTATTCAGTTTTCTTGTTTTTACACAATTTTACAATTCCTGACTTGCTGGTTTTTAAAAATAACCAATTCATTTATTATGACAGTGAAGCTTTACTAACTTGCTTGCTTAAATGAACTATCAAGTCTAATTTATAATTGTAATTAATAAATAATATTCATTGTAACTATAACTTAAGTTGCAAATTGTTTCTAAATGATTAAAAGACTGAATTGTTCAATGAATAATTTCTTGAGTTGTAGTTTGACATTTTTCTTAAAGTTTCAATGTGAATATACTTTATATGATAACCTTTTATTTTGTGTAAACGAAACAAAACTTATCTTCATTTGCGCTGACTTGAGCTTAGTGTGAAGTAACCTTGGTTTAACTAGTTTATTTTTGCACCAAATGCTCATATTGTGAAGGGAGTAGAATGTCCTTTTGTATTAATCGTAATAATTTCCTCCTAGGTCAGCAAGAAGTTCGAGCATTGGTGAGAAATCTTCGTAAGGCATTCCCCTATAGACGTATGGAAATCGGGTCAGAAAAGGAGGAATCCAATTCTGTAAAATTAGAGGAAAGTGAGAGTGAGGATGATTTTCCACACAAAAAAAATCCAAAAGTGAAGAAATCAAATGAAATTCATTTACCTATTATTGATCTTGATGAATATCCTGTTGTGAGTTCTGGAGATGTGGACGAAGATGAACTTGCCCTCAGTGATGATAATGAAGATATGGAAGAAGAAATAGATGATCCAAAAGCAACTCGGGCTCCCATGTGGGTATTGCCTCTTTATTCGTTGCTTCCTGGCCACAAACAAGCAAAGGTATGTGGCTATTGTTTCTATATGAAATGTAGGAGCAGACAGTTGTCATGAAACTTGGCTGTGGATCTTTGAGAAGGAAGGAAACTTACGCCTTTATGACTGTATTAGTGGAACATAGCAGTAAAAGCTGCTCTATAGACTTGAGTGTATGGAGGCAGAACAGTAAAAATTGTAATCATTCTTTACATTATTTCCAATTGTTCTGCAATCTAGTTTGGGGCTTACATCTACATATTCGTCCTAGTTTAAATTTAAGGATTTTTGTCCTGTTTAATTCAAGATCATTCCTATGTATTTTGCTGTATTATGCACTGTACAACACAATATTACGCATGGTTCAATACCCCCCGCTGCACGATTCAGAGCAACAGGGAAAAATTCCAAAATGAGCATCATTGGGAAGTCAAATGTGAATCGCCCAAGTAATGAAAATATACCCTGCTACCGTATTAAAGATTTAGATGTAGTCCTTGAAGCCTTGTAAGTTCGACACCCCTGATGTAAATAATACATAAAAAAATATGCTTCACATGGTTAACATTTAAACATTTTCAGTTTTAGTATTTCCAGTATTTATGTTCTGTTAATAAGCTCTTTTTTGGTTCATTATTTTGTTTGGGTTTGCTTGACATATTTGAATTTTAGGAGCACAACTCGCACTTCTTTGCCCATTCTTGAACTTCACTTTTCTTGCACTTTGTGCATTTAATTAGTGTTTTATTTATTAAAATCACTGATTTAAATTAATATTTTAAAATTAATTAACTTAATTTCCTTACAAATTGTTAAAATAAATAGTAATTTTGTTGTGTTAATTTCAAAGAAATAAGAATTATGAAACAAGTTTAAAAATGTGGGCATAAATAAGACTGATATCAGCTAAAAAATTTAAACAGGACAATAATAGTTTTAAAAAAACTACCGTATTTACCCGTATAAGATGAGGGGTTTTCCTAAATTATTCGTTAAAAAAAACGGGGGATCATCTTATATTCACAGATTAAGTTTAGTTGGTGAGAATCACTGTCTGTTCCTGCCAAAAAAATTGTATGCTGAAGAAACAATATGCTGCAAAATCCCACTGCATAAGCTACACTAGTCTACCCTTCCAATAATGTGCTGAGAAACATCAAATCAATGTAGCACAATGTTAGTTATCAGAGGGTATTGGGAGAACAAATGGAGTGTAAAAGACAGCATGTGGGTGCCTTGCGGGTAGCTGCCGACAAATACATCCTGATTGCACTCTTATTAATCACCGGTTTCTCAACACTGTTGCTAACAAAAAGGAGGACCAGAGTTGCCCCGGAATACATTAGCGATGAAAACTGAAATGATTCTCCATCATGAGGGCTACAGATTCACTGTGCACACTGAGGAAGACATGTTTCACACACAGGCATGTGTTGAATAGACCTATGTATTTATATTCATGAACATTTCACACTGTGTCCACTGCAGACATTCCATTTCAAACCAATATTTTTTTGAAGTGAGATCTGTCGAATGACATTGTAAGTTTAAACACAACAGAAAAGTGATTGGAAGTTTGGGCAGAAATTCTGTGGGGGTACAGGTATCTATGAGTTCGCAATTGATGACTGGATAATTCCTGGTGAGATGACATCTTATATTTAAGTAATGGATGTTGTTGTATTCAGACCATTCAAACATCATTTCTGACAATTTTATAACTACTGGCCTCAAGGAAACCATGCCCTCGCTCCTGGAGGGAAATTAAGCAAGTCCTCAGAATACAAGCGGGGAGAATGGTGAGCTACTGCTCTGAATAGGATCTCCAGTGAATCTATTGTGTAGGGTTTTAAAAAGTTCTCCATATCCAATGCACTAGATGGCTCAGAAGATGACCTACTGAGGGAGGACCGGGAAGTTAAATACAATACAAGTGAAGATGAACGAAGTACCAACAGTGGTGATGCTGGTTCTGATGACGATAATGAAGAAAATAGCATTGAACTGATAAAACGTAGATTTTTCATTTAAAATATTTTTCTAGGCATTAATGCGACTTGTGTGGCATCTTATATTCAAGGTGGACTTATATTTGGGTAAATACGGTACATTTGAAAATCAATGCTACAAAGGTGAATTTACTCAGATTATTCTTAGGGATGAAATGTTTGTATAAAAACACAACTTTGGCTGCCTTTTCAGGTTCCCAAAATGGCATTTCTGAAGGTGAATCATTCCCCTTCCTGGAGATGGGAAATTGCTTCACCACACCTCCTAAGTTAAGCCATAGCTAGTGTCCATTCTACTAAGGCCAAGGATGGCAGGGCGGCGGCGATGGTGTAATGGGTAGCGTACTGGACTGTTGTACCCAAGTTCGTGGGTTCAAACCCGATCAAGGAATTTTTAAGGGCAAAAAAATCCTTCGTACGCCTTCCTTCGGAGGGGAAGTAAAGCCGGCTGTTCCATGTTAGTAGATTTACTTGCATGTAAAAGATCCTCAAGCCGAAATGACGCCTCTGAGCTAAATTCAAATCGCCTGTTTCTCGCCCAAGAAATACCTCCTTTCTCTGCTAGTTGATGAAAGGAGCATAGCGAAATATGCGTGGTCAGACGGAAGAGCGGGCCTGATGGCCCAAGTCTCGCCACATAAAATAAGGCAAATTCAATTCATTTCAATACAAAAGGATGAGTAATCCTTTCAGTTATATTTTTGTATTTTGTAGTTATTTATTGAATTAATTCAACAATCTTTACATAAAGTTACCATATTTACCTGAACATTAGATGACTCTGATTATATGACCACCCTCTAATTTTGAAAGGTGTTGTTTTTTGTGATTTTTAATTTTTAACTAATTCTTACTATTTAGTCAAAATAAAACCACGAATTCACTAGAGATTCTGACCAGAAATAAAGTCTTCATGATAAGTTTAATTATTTTTGCATGAATTGTCAGTATTAACGTATTTCTTATTCCTCTTAAAAATAATCATCATCAATGCTTTTGGTACTACTGTTCCCATCTTGAAATATTGCATTGTTTTTTTCTTGTTGACCCTCCCTCATGCTATATTTATGTTATCCTTGCACATTTTGGAACCTCAGAAAGTTTTGAGTATTTAAACTTATGCCTTTCATCATTCATCTGACACTACCTAAAAATATTCTGTTCTTTATCTCCAGATTTTCTTCCTATTGCAACGTAGTTCATGCCCTCTGATTCTTAAACCACATTAACGTAAAATTTGCATTTTTTATTTTTCGTGTGATCTCGTTGTGAACTGCGAATTTGTACATTCTGCCCCTCTGTTCCATGGATAGTGTGGGAGAGAGTGTCAAAGTTTGGGATATTTTTTTTTATTATTGAATAATTTAATTATTGAATTATTAATTATTGCGAGAATTAATTTTCACTTTCTCGCACACTGTGCAGTATAGAGAAAGTATTGTAATCCTGCAGAAAAAAAATGGCGCTTTTTGACCAAAAAACTCTTATTGACAGGCCTTTGTAATGAAAACAATGGATAAATCTTGTTCAAGTGTGTAGTAAATTACTTCCTCTAACACATTGTGTAGTCAGAATCCATGCATTGTGAGTCTACAACTCCAAAAATTAGTAGCTCGCAAAACATCTGTCTGCTTGTTTGTGATCAATGCTAGCACCTAAACTGTACAGCCATTTTCCCCAAAATTGATTTTCCCTAGTCGATCAGAATGAACTCTTTAGCGGTACTTTACATGATGGCTCAACATATTCAAAATTTTCTTAAAAATGGCTCCAAATTTTTTTATTAAACTTTGTCCTCACATAGAGAACACTTTAAAATGTAGCACAGGTCTAATTTTTTTTCAACATCCTTGTTTTTTTGAAAATAGCAAAAATTCAAAATTTTTTTCTATGTCTTCCTACAACTACAATGAAAATATTAATTTTTTTCAAAACATCCATTCATCAAAAACAGATTTTCAAGTGAGGTCATTATCACTTTTTTGAATATATGAGTAGTTTTTGCATTATTTAAATTACCAGGAATTTTAAAGTATTTTTAAACAATATTTTTCTTGAAAATAGCTTCAAATTTGTACTTGTAGATGACAAAGACAGGTTTTAAAAAATGGCATTGGTCGTGTTTTCATTGATCTCTCATAATTTTTGAAAATTGCAGAAGTTCAAAATGTTTTCAGCCTCTTCCAACAACTACAGTATTAAAGAATTCGTTTCTTAATAAAATCTGTTCATTGAAAATAGATCGTGAAAGAAGGTCATGTTCAATTTTTAGATAAAATGAATAGTTCCTGTGTAATTTTGTATGAAACATAGACTAAGTTTAAACAATTATTTTCTCAAAAGCAGTTCCAAATTTCTTCTTTAAATATGTTCTTCACGTGTGGCAAAGAAAGTGGTGCTGGTCCCATTTCCAGTGAACAACAACAGTAGAGAGTACAGACCAAACGGCCAAAGAATATAAAACTGAATTGCTAACCAGATTCTTGTTTTTTGACAGTGTTCTGAAGGTGGCAGGAATAAAAGCATTTCTAATGTTTGAAATAGCACATTCTTCATTTAACGAAAGAAAAACTAACCCATTGCATGAGAATATTTTTTGGTAAGACAACACGTTCCTTTGTACTTTTCTGCACACTTCTTATGGTCTTCAAAAGAACTCAAACCTAACAATGGTCATGTTAAGTATTGGTCTTTACTCTATATAAGCTAGGTGAAAGAAGTAAAATTATAGATAAGAGAAAAAATATACAATGTTTACATGAAATCGGAAATCTTTAACTCTGAGCAGTGTTTGCCAAATGAATACAAAGATCACAGTTAAGTTACGTGTTTCATATGTTCCAAATGCAAATCATTTAATTTTATATAGTTGCTGGTAACAAAGTGTTTTCATTACTTATGGCTTTATGATGTTTCATTAAAGCTTCACAATTTTAAAAAAAATCATCCAACTAATCTTTTGTTACTTAAGATACATTACAATAAAACAATTATTAAGTGTTTAATGATTTGATTTGTTTAACACAATAACTCTTAAAGCACCTGCTAATTTTAAATCAAGTAAATATAATTCATTAGTATTGTTTTCTTTGGAATATCATGAGTTATACACCTCAGCCTGATAGACCCGTGTGTATTCACGTAGAATCAAATAATAATACATCTAAGTGTTACTGTGAATCATCTATAGAATGACATGACAAATAAAATTGCAACATTCAGGTGTTCGAGCCACCGCCTCCAGGAAGTAGATTGTGTGTGGTTGCCACAAATGTTGCTGAAACTTCTCTGACCATTCCAAGTGTACGTTATGTTGTGGATTGTGGCAAAGAAAAGAGGCGTCGTTATGACAAAACTACTGGAGTGTCAGCATTTATGGTTACATGGACTAGCAAAGCCTCTGCCAATCAGAGAGCAGGCCGTGCAGGTCGAACAGGCCCAGGTCACTGCTATAGGTTCGTATAAAAAATTTGAGTTAAAAATTAAAATGATGCATGCAATGTGGTACTGTTTCATGAAAAATATTAGTTTTTTTAAATTCCATCTTGTGATATTTTGTGTATTTGTTTTGCAAGTGTAGGAGTTTTTCAAAGGAGTTCTTTCCCTACATTTGGTGTATTTTTGCATCCTTTTTTGTCTTTCTTTGTGCATTGTTTATAAAACATTAATGTTGTTGTTGAACAGTTCTGTATTTTAACTTTCTTGTGTAATATGAGAATGTTGCAATGAAGCAAAACTTGATGTTCAAATTTTGATGCATATACTTGTGTTTAGGGAGTTTTTGACACCTAAAAAAGATTTTGTGTGTGTGTGTCTGTGGTGTGGTGTGTGTCTGTGTGTGTGTGTGTCTGTGTGTGTGTGTGTGTTGTGTGTGTGTGTCTGTGTGTGTGTGTGTGTCTGTGTGTGTGTGTCTGTGTGTGTGTGTGTCTGTGTCTGTGTGTGTGTGTGTGTGTGTGCTGTTGCGGTGCGCTGCGCGTGCGCGGCGTGGCGCGTGCGCGTGTGTGTGTGTGAGAGGAGGAGGAGGAGAGTCTGTGAAGTTCTTCCCTTTCCACTGTGAAGCGTGGACAATGAAAGAAACACGTGTTCTACATCTTCAATCGCCGGGAAACACCTTGGGCATGATGAGCTATCGTCCAGCCGGAATCGGAGCTGATACTGCCGGTAACATCCATGCCCTGTCAGCATCTGAGTTAGATAAAAATCTAATTCTCCATGTTCCCTTTGAATCCAGTCATGATGTCGGGAATGACCCGAAATGTCCATCGCCCAGTTGATGATTGCTCCCCATCGGCGTTGCCATTGGTCCATTGTCACCCCTCTCTCTTCTTTCGTAATGATATTCCAGTTTGAGGCCCCTCCCGCTTGCGCAAATAGAGTCTAGCTCTCTCCTGCGCAATGAGGTCGATCGGAGGCATATCTGCTAACACACACACAGCATCATAGGATACGGTGGCGAAAACGCTCGAGCAACCCGCAAGGCGGACCTTCTATGCACCGACTTAGCCCCACGGGCGTATGACTGAATGCCCATGGATCAGCCCAAAGGGGCTGCGTAGAGAGAATGGAATTTACTACGCTAGTCAGCAGCCTCGGCTTCTTTGCCCAGGCCCCCTACATTAGGCATAATGCGTGGCCAATGCGGATGCCATACGAGAGCTTTCTCGGAGACATTGCGCAGGTGCTCGTCAAAGCGCAGTCTCGCGTCAATATCGACTCCCAAATCCGTCAGTGACAGCTGCGAGGATATTTTGCAGCCTCCTACATTAAGAAGTAATACTCTCTCTCACTTTTCTGCCCGTACCAGCACAGCCTCTGTTTATGGCGGCCATCTGTAGCCCTACTGACGTAAGCCACCGCCGGATCTCCGCCACAGCCTCGTTGGCAACCTGCGTGACTTGTCGATGTATTTGCCGACAACGACAATTGCAACATCGTCAGCAATCCAATCGTTCTTTGCGCCTTCCGGCAACTCGAGCTTCAACACGGGCGTCATACATAATGTTCCACAACATCGGACCAAAGTACCGACCTTGTGGGACACCGCCTGTGACCGTATAAGATTGTACTCCAGCCAGTTTCATATGGAGGACTCTCTCCTTAAAGTAACTTTTTACCAAGTTCGAGATGTACCTTGGAACTCCAGAGAGTTTGTAGCGAAGAAAGAATGGAGCTCCACCACTTGCAGTGTTAAAGGCGTTTTTCACGTCTAGGGTCACTATAGCACAATACTTCATAGGACCGCCTTTCATCGTTTGCCTTCAATGGCCTTGCGTGCGATGTCGATGACTCCTTAATAGCATCTACCGTGGATCTCGCTTTTCTAAAGCCGTACTGATTATCAGACAATCCTTGAGGCCCTCTGTAAATGACTCAATACGATTGCAGATAATCCGCTCCAACACTTTTGCCTGCTGTGTCCAGTAAGCATATTGGCCGATAGGCTGCCGGGTCAGTAGGTGCCTTATCGCCCTTCGGAAGAAGGACTAACTGTTGCTGCTCATCGACGGGGGAAATTCCCCTCTCGTATGCATGCATTATATGCGTGCAAGAATAGATCGGGCCGAGTCTTAATAGCGGTCTTAATTGCTACATTTGGACCCCATCTAATCCGGGGGCTTTGCAATCTTGGACCTTGCCGCAAGCTCTGGAAAGTTCATCCAACGTGACTGCCGAACCTCGCTTAGATCTTCCAGACGATCCTTCGGTTGTAACGTAATCTACCTGGCGAGGAAACAAGGTAGCTACAACTTTTTCCATGAAAACCGGGGCAAGTGGGTGGTCGCCCTGAACATACCCCCTGAGTCTGGCGCGTTAACCAGCTTATACGGGCGTCCCCAGGGGTCAGCATCCACCTCCTCCCCTAGCTCTCTCCAGCAACGACACTTACTAATCTTAATGGCTTTTGTGAAAGCTCTTCTGGCGTCCAGATGTTGCTTCTTGAGAATTCATAGTTTGGGCGGCTCCTGGCGCGCTTGTGCCAATCTACGTGTTCGGTGGCATTCCTTTGCGAAGTTCCGCGATCTCGTCAGTCCACCAGTACACTGGAGGACGGCGTTCTTCTCCTTGGACCTTTTGTCATTGACGCATCACAAGCGTCAAATACCCGGTTCATTACGGTTTCTACAATATATTCAGAGTCACGGGCCAACATATCTTCAGGGTTGCCCTCCATCATGGCAATGAAGGAATCACGATCGAACGTCCTGTGGTTCCAAACAGCTTTCCTTCTACCCTTGGTGAGCTCAAAATGCACTGCTCTTTTACTTCATACAATAGCTTGGTGGTCACTATGTGTATAATGTGCACTAACCTCCCATGATACAATACGTCTAGCAAGGCTTTTACAGACGAAAGTTAGATCAACGACGGAGCTGCGCACATTCATTAGAAAGGTCGGACTGGCCCCCGTGTTGCAGAGGCAGACACCCAAACTGTCAAGGCTGTCCAGGAGAGCCACCCCGCGTCGGTTCGTTACTCTGCTGCCCACTGCGTGGCCCATGCATTGAAGTCCCCAGCAATAATAAGAGGCCTTCGTTCTCTCGCGTCATCTATTAAGCGATCGAGTAATTCCTCGAACTCCTCAAGCGATGCACTGGGTGCAGCATAAACACTATAGAAATATACACCGAACCTTTTGATCCAAGTGAATCCATCCCTTGGGACTTGCATAACATCCTGGACTGGACTATTACACATATCGCATACTGCAGCTCGGTTAGTCGCATCGAAACCCAGGACTGAAGACCGACAATATTTCTGTACTGCTCGCAGAGTATTTGCAACATCTATATTCATCTCGCGCACCGTCTGGGTGAGAGGTCGCTGGACCGCCTCGCAATGATTTAAATTTAGCTGGAGAACTCTCATTTTCTGTTATCCGTTGCCTTCATTGCTACTTGGTACGCCGGACACGTGAAACTCCCGTCGGTGGTTCCTCGTATCTTTGCAGAGCACACACCTCGCCTCAGCGCTTTTGCAAGCCCTGACGTAAGTGGCCGTCTTCTCCGCATCGGTGACAGGATTTTTGACCTGTACGTCTCTTGGCAGTCGCGTGCCAGATGTCCGAACGCCCAACAACGATAACACTTCCGCACAATTACTTTCTCTCTAACGCGGCAGTTTAACGGCCACCCTAATTGCGAAACACGGGCCGCTCCTCAATGCCCTCCTGGCTAGTTCCGTCGGTAGAGCGGAACGTGTGTGGGTGTGGGTGTGTGTGTGTGTGTAGGTGTGTGTGTGTGGGGGGGGGTGCGCGTGGGCGCGCGCGCGCGTGCGCGTGCGCGTGCGCGTGTGTGTGTTGGAGTATTTTTTTTTTCTTCAGAAAATCCAATTGTCTGCCCTTGTCCTGGCTGTGAACAAAAATTGAATGTTAAAATTGAATTAGTTCCTTTCTGAATGCAAATATCATCTCAAAAGTCGTATTATGTTCAGTTTGATTTTTAAAAAATTGAAAATTGATTTTTCCACACTCATGCATGGAAACTAGTACTTTCCTACACTGTTTATTGATTGGAAAGTGTAACTTGGCTGTACACATACAACAGAGTCAGTTTGCCTATAGACTACGCCATAAGCTTACCACAAAGAAGTCATGGTCGTATAAAATAACTGGGTACTGCAAAATAAACAAAACACTGGGGTATCATGAATTAACAAGGCTGCATTTAACTTTGCTTACAAAAGCATGTGTACAACACATACAAACGCATATTTGACGTATTCATTTCAAAATGCCTAACTCTGCTCCTATTGTCATCTTGTCTGAGGTTTCACTTTAATGCCAAAGAATCACTCTATTCTAAGTACGTAAAAAGTATTAAGATGTGAACAATGATCTGAATTATATGGCGTAAGTGCTATTTTCATTAAAACTAAAGTTCCAGAAATTAAAGATATTTTTACATAAGTGTATGTTATAAAAGGGTCTTTTTAAAAATAGAATAAAATTTTAATGTGTGAGTGCTAAAATATGATATTACACTCTATTACAATTAAGGGGAGAAAGTATGCACTATAGAAACGATAACATCTCTAGTTTAGAAAAAAAATTGTTTAAGAATCATTTGAAGCTGCTGCATTTAAAGAACAATAATTAATACCACATAGAATTTTTTCTTCTCTTATTTATTTTATTTCTTCTAATCCCTTCATTTGAACCCTTTTCATATTTACCTATTTCATATTGTTTATACATTTTTAGAAGACATGAGTGCCAGTGTGAGTATTAAGTGATTCATTTTGTGTAGGCTTTATTCATCAGCAATGTTCAATGATCAATTCGAAGAATATTCGATACCAGAAATGCAAAGAAAGCCTGTAGATGATTTGGTGCTGCAAATGAAGTCGATGGGCATCCATAGAGTGATTAACTTCCCATTTCCTTCACCTCCTGGACAGGAGCAACTGCAAGCATCTGAGAGGAGGCTCATTCTTTTAGGGGCCCTGCAGCGAAGAGAGGGGAGCAGTGAAGGTATATAACTCCAGTGGGCTGATGTACTGTGGATCAGTCATTAAATTTGTATTTTTTTAGTATTTTATTTAACATTACACTAATGTAAATTGATTCAAAGAAGATTTGTGTAAAATGTTCATTAAATTTCATTCTTTTGTGAGTTTTCATGTCCATGTGTTTAATGAAAATAAAGTTCAATTGAATATTGATTAACAAGTAATTGTGAATTGAATTTTGATGTAATTAGAAATGGAACCCCATTTCTGATATTGTTCAAATAATGAATTACGACCATTATTGACAGATGACTGGACTGCACGAATTACATCTCTTGGACAATCTATGGCTACATTTCCTGTAGCGCCCCGTTTTGCCAAAATGCTTGCTCTGAGTCATCAACAAGATTTATTGGCTTATACAATATGTATGGTGGCAGCTCTGGCTGTGCCTGAAGTTCTTATAGACACAGCTGGAAATAAAGAAACTGCTGCATTCAGAAGAATGTGGGCTGGTACAGGCAACTCCCTTTTATTGGGTAAGTAATTGTGGCTGCAGTCATAGCTATTTTAAGTTACCCTATTTTATAAAAGTCTTGTTGTGTTCATCTTGTCACTTCTACACAAAATATTTTTAGTTGTCCTTTTCTGAGTATTTGTGAAATACACTTTTACCAGTGGTAGCTGAAGCCAGTTGTAGCATGTTTTTGTTCAAACAAAAAAAATTCCTGTTTATGAATATAAATGAAACTTATTGAAACTGCCACCTTGATTAAATGATCACCCCCATTTAAAACTATTTTACCTGTATGGTACAAGTACATAGTCCCTTTTTCATTAATTCACCTGGCCCTGCAGTAAATGACTAAGTACAAAATTTGTGGTGTTGATTCATAACATAGCAAGCAGAAGCTGGTGAATATTATGGTTTATTCATTGCCTCCATGCAGGAGGATGCAATGTAGCTCAGTGAGGTGCTTATCTAGCAGAGTAATTAACTTATGTCTAATAACAATAAATTATTTTTGGGCATGCTGTGAAATTCCTCAAGGTGAACTGCTGCTTCACATGTAGTTGGTAATCGTCTCCACAAATGGGAAGAAACAACCCATGATATGAAAAAGAAGGGTGCAAATACGAAATGAGATAAATGATTTTGTATAGGAATTGTTTAAGTGCACATCAGCAAAAACTTCTAGAATTTTTTAGATTATTTGTAATTAAAAATATGTATTAAGTAGTAATGAAACTCATTCACTACTCACGTGCATAACATGTTTTCGTTATGACTTCATTGCAAGTTGAAAAATCAGGCTGGATGTCCGTTTCCATATTGTCATAACCTCCATTAAGAAGCCACCGTACTGAAAGTAGTTTTTCTCCAGTACCACAAACAATCGCTTAAATCTGATTCAAGATCTGTGGCTGGAGTCAGTAACTGCTGGGCTGTCATTCTGTAACCTCAAGGAAAAATGCACAGAGATGGAGATATTATACATATATATCATATATATTCAAAGAAATAGCGCATTTGATTTGATTAAATTTTGTTGTTAATAAATAAATATATATATATATATATATATATATATATATTATATAATAATAATAGTTATATATAATATTATATAAATATATATATATATATATAAATTTTTTTCTCCCCCCCCCCCCCTCCTCCAAATCTGTGTTTTTAACCAACAGGAGATCAGGGCTATTCTCTTTAAAATTCTTCAGACTATCCAACAACAAATCAAATGCGCTATTTTTTTGAAAATGTTCCAGGGGCTTTCTGTAAAGTCCCTCCAAAATAAAAATATCGGTTTCAAATTCAAGGAACTGTGACCTCAGCCAGATCGATTGGGGAATATCAATTTTGGAGAAACTACGCTGAACTGTTGAGCTGCTTGCGTAGTTCAGATGGGCGGACAGACGTTTTGCCATCATCAATTTTTCTATATCAAGGACCCACAAAACAAGAATTCTGACTGCACCACATGTTGTTCTTCTTCTTTTTCTTAGTCTTCTTCTTCATCATCGTCTTTATCCTCATCGTCATCTTCTAGTTTTTCTGCCGAAAATTCGCCATTTTGTAACATAGCATTACGTAACTTTCTCTTAAGAACTTTCTTGTTAAGCACAAGAAGGTGAAAATGAAGTGTGTGCTTGAAGAAAAAGAACAGAGTTGATGTACCAATGAAAAAAGTGTTTGCTTTCTTTAGACGTAGAAAGTTATTTTGAAAATAAATATTAACATTCCATTTTTTATAATTTTTCGTAAAAAAAATTATCTCACACATATAGTAAAGTTAGTACCTTGAAAAATTGAAATAAACATAATTTATGTAAGCCAATATATTTGTTATATATTTATTATTATTTGATGCAGTGGTGTGCCCCTGGAATACATTCTGCCTCAAGAGACAAAAATTTCAAAACAATTCTGCCTTAACTGGCCAGAATTTCATGCGAATATTCACGAGATGTAGCAAAGGCTCACCACAGAATTCCTGAGTAGCCTATTCATTTTCTTCACTCATATATTGTAATGTCAGCCTTTGTGAGTTTTGTGTAATCGAAGGTTCCTGTGACATTTATCGGCACCGTTGTCAGTTGGGCCAATTTCACAATAAATAATGGCATATTCTTTTGAAGAATGGTCCAAACCCAAAATTTGCAAGCTGAGTTTACTTCAACAAAAGGAAGAAACCTCGATTACATCTGTAACATATCCAATAGCTTGAATTGTTCATCTGAAGTGGTTTTGATTGAATTTTTTATGTCATTTGCTTTGTTTTAGGGCGCTTTAAGAGCGTTTTATTGATCATATTTGACAATGTGTCGTTATTGGATATTGGTCATCAAAATCCACCCCCCTAATGATGTACATGAAGCATCAAGCATCTATAAATCAATGTATTTTCTGAATGTAATTTCAAGGTTTCAAAATATTTTTTTTTTTTTATCAATAGAATAAGAAGATATTGTGAGGTAACAATATTTTAATTCCCACTAATGATCATTTCGATCGAGCGTAGCGATATCCTCAGAGCTTGCAGCTTCTGGCCGAAAAACAAGTTCTGCAGAACTTGGTTTTCGGCCCCAGAAGCTGCAAGCTCTGAGGAATGATCGCTACGCGATCGAATATGATCATTTAGTGGAATTAAAATATTGATACCTGAACAATATCTCTATCTATTGATCAAAATAAAAACAGGGTATCTATTCACCACCAATCAATTAAAAATATATTTTTGTTAATGATTGGATTTTAGGAGATCCTATGGTGTTGATGCGTGCAGTGGGTGCTGCTGAACATGCTGGCACTACTGGGGGCCTGGCAAGCTTTTGCGAAAAGCATGCTTTGAGGCTCAAGGCAGTGGTGGAAGTAAGGAAACTCCGCCTCCAGCTGACTGCTGAAATTAATTCAGCAATTCCAGACCTTGACCTGGTGGTGGACCCTCAGATGCCTCCGCCATCTGATGAGCAGGCCAGATTACTGCGACAGTTGTTGCTTGCAGGCCTAGGGGACCAAGTGGCACGTCGCGTTGATCCTGAAACAATAAAAGATGAGGAAGATAAAATGAAGTGGAAGCATGCATATAGGTAATGTCTAATATGTTGTTTATGTCTTTGTCTAGATGGGAAAGTTAAACTACTTTATCTAAAAGATAAAATTGTCTTGTGAAATGTATTATTAGATATTTCTGCATTACCAGTTCTTTCAGTTGCAAGTAAAGGGAAAGTTTGTTCTAAAAATTATCAAAAATTTTTATTCATAAAACCATATAAATTTTTCTCTTTTCTTAAAGAAGAATGGAGGACACTCCATCACAAATAGATCATATCACATCTCCAAAGGATTATTCCCGTGATCAATGTGCCTTTTTTTATTTCAATGTGTCCTTTTTTTATTTCATGCTTTTTTATTTTTTCAATTAAAAAAATATTTACAGTTGGAGGCGATCCAAAATGAAATCTTGTCTCCCGTATTACTCTGTGACTGGTAAACAAGGCTCCATAAGAAAGCTTGGAGTGCAATGTGCTGATTTCCTGGTTCTGGTTATATTAGTTAATGTGGTATATTTAGAACATGGTCTTGGCATAGGCAAGTTAATTTAATGCCATTAATAAATGCTGACTGCATTTGGCACCAAAGCCATGAACACAGTGAAACTCTGTTTATACATTTCTCACTTACATGTTTTTGACGTTTATACATTTTGGTAAGTCCAGGATAAATTCCTATAATTCCCAGGTTAAATTATTTCAGTTATGCATTTCATGTTTATATATTTTTTGCACCTATACGTTCATAATAAAAGTCCCTTTTAGCCTGTAAAACCTTCAAATGATCCCAGTGAAGTGCGAGGCGACTGCCCCCGTGAGCCCAGAACTCGTATGTTACTCAAGTCAGCACACCGCAGAGCATGTCCACAGAGCAACCTCTCAGGTGACTTCCGGCTAATAAACCTTGTAATACAGAAGAAAAATGTCATGTGCCGCCTCCGGCAGCAAAACTTTGAAAAAGTTCAGAGTTGATTGCGTACAGGAGCTCTCTGAGAATATCAGGGAGGGAAGATCAAACGGCGACATTGGGAGAGAGTAATGATGGAGACGACCAATAGGTGAGAAAGTTTGTACACTGACTGTCCCACTCTCTGAAGGCCTTTTTGCTTGTCGTAATGTATCTTCTTCATCTTCATAAAAAATCTAAGACTTGTTCCTTTCCAAGAATTATAACTAGTCTTTCCATCTTCTCCTTGGTTTGCCAACATCTCTTCTTCCCCTCGGCCTTTCATCCCTAGTAATCCTCACGATTCTTCTGATGTTTCTGTTTCTTTTCTTATCCAGTAGAGTGTGATTTGTAATTTTTCTCAGAAGTCTCATTTCGGCTACCTCAAGTTGTTGTTGGGTACGCTTCGTTTCGCTTTTTGTTTCTCCTGCATAGGTTAATATTGGTCTAATTATTGATTGATATATTCTAACCTTCGAGTCCTGTTTTAGATGTTTATTTTACCATATTGAGTAGTTGAGACAGCCAGCGCTCCTATTACCCATTTTTATTTGTTCTTTTATTTCTTTCATGTTTGTCCTGAGCTTGTTAAAGTTATTCCCAAACACTTCATTTTTAGAACTTGTTCTATTATTTGATAATCCACTACCAATTTACACCTAATCGGATTCTTAGCAAATATAATAGCTTCCGTCTTCTGGGTAGATATTTGTAAATTAAAATTCTTATAAATTTTACTGAACTCTTACAGTAATCATTGTAAGTCATCTTCATTTTCTGCTGTTAACAATGTGTCGTCTGCATAACATATGATATTTATATTATATTTTCCCATACTATATCCTTTTCTCTGTTTGTAGTTGTTTTATAATATTATTCATTATTACATTAAATAACAATGAGCTCAATGAATCCTCTTGTCTTATTCCTTTCGATGCAGGTATAGCAAGTAATATTTTCCCCTGGTTTTTAATCACACACATATTAGTTTTAAAAGGTTAGAGAACACATTTTCTTGTTTCAGTACTCTTATCACATCAATTTGCTTTATATTGTCAAATGATTTGCTAAATTCGAGAGCCTTTTCCACGATTTGTTGGATATAAAATTGCGTCAGTGCATGATCTACCATGTCTAAAACCCTGTTGTTTTTCTTCTCATTCTATCATATTCACGAGTGTGTTTGCTATACATTGCGTGAGGATTTTCAGTGAGCGGTTTAGGAGGTTTATCCCTCTGTAATTATCTGGATCGTTTCCATTCCTTTGGTTTTTTTGCATCATTTAAAATTTTATTAATAAGTTTGGTTATTTTTCTGCATAAGGCTTTTCCTCCATATTTAATGAGCTCATTATACATTCCTTCTCCAGGTGACTTCCGATTTCATAGTTTTCCAATTACTTTTCATATTTCTTCACATTTTACGCATTGTTCCTTGGATGTAAAATCTTCAACCAAGTCTATTATCTCCGGTGTGTCATCGTGGAGTAGTTCCCTAAAGTATTTTATCCATGTTTCATTGGATACTTTATATGTGCTAATAAGTTCATTTATTTCTGTCCTCTGAATCTCCAGATACCTTTTTGTCGCCCATAGAACTTATGTTGAAGTCGCATGGTGAAGGAGATCCAGTAGTCTTTCTTTATTTCTCTAATCCTTGTATTAACATTGTTCCTGATATTTTTAGATTTTTGATGTGTTTCTGGTGTTTTATTCTGTTTGAATTGTATGTAATGAACATTCATTGTTTCTTTAACACCGGATTATGATCACTGCCAATATCCGCTCCTGGTAGGCTGCTTACATCTAGAATCTGGGATGGGTGAATTTCACGATTAGTAAGTATAGAATCAATAGTGGATTTTTGTCCTCTTGTGTACATCCATCCATGGAGTTTTATGCTGTTCTTTATGATTAAAGAAAGTATTGTTTATTCTTATTTCGTTTTCAACACAGAAATCTATAAGAGTTTCTCCATTTTCATTCAGATCACGTTCATTGAACCAGTTCTTAATTCCCGGGATGATATGATTTCCTACTCTAGGATTCAGATCACCTACTATTACTACCGGTTCCTTAGAATCAATTTCGCTGATCGTTTCTTGGAGGCCATTGTTTTTCATGAGATGGTTTATTATTTTCTGGTGCATATGCGGATGTAATATTGGTTTAGATTTATTTGATAATTTCACAGATGTACTTTTTTTGGAGATGTAGTTATGTTTAATAATGTTATTTACATATTTGTTATGAATTATGATTGCCACACCCTCCTTTGCTCAATGATGTTTTGGAGGTCCACTATATATAAGTGTGTAGTGACCCTTTTGTGTAATTCCTTGCCCCTTTTTCTTAGTTTCTATGAGGCAGCATGTGTTAATTTTGTTCCTGTCAACTTCCATATTCGCTTGCATTCCACGATCTTACATTCCATGTTCCGATTCGTGTAATGTTCTTCCTTTTCCAATTTGTAGTCCTTTTTCTTGCCAGAGTTGTCGTACATATAAGATTGATCCGAGGCAAATTCTTGGAGCTCTGAGTGGTATCTTTTTTTTTAACCCTGTGCAGGCTGCTAACCTCGCTCAGGAATCCTTGTAATATATAATATATATCACCAGGCTGTGGTTGTCATGTGTTTCCTGTCACCCACGTAGAACTCCATGCTTTGACCCGCGGAATCTCAAGTAAACATGAAGCTTGAAACCGAAGCAACCAGCCGTGGGTCGCCGCCGCCAGTTGTAGCCCATGCAGGACACAGCCTTCGTTTCCGCAGTGAAACAGTGTCACAAAAGATCATTAGTGAGGTCCCCATTGTGTGTCCGCTATTTCCACATCAGGGGAGACTTCTTTGATGACAACCTTCGTCTGACAATATTTTTTCCAAGCTGACCATCATTGTAATTTGTGGCTTTGAGGCTGTGTTTAAATCAAAGTGTAAATAGTCTTCTATCTGGTTTTGCCATATTAAACGAAAAAAGTGGTAGGAATAGGCAATCCCTTTCAATATCAGATAAAATAAAAAATTTAAAAGTTGTTAGAGAGAAAGGCAATAAAAAAGTAGCTATTGCTAAATAACTTGGAAAAGTGGTAAAAAAATTGGGTTTTTATTTTGATCATAATAATTAATTTCAGTTATGCTTTGTTCTCACTTATAAAATTTTCCCATCGGTCCCCTGAATAATGTATAAGTGAAGTTTTACTGTATACATATTGTGTCACTGTGCCTGGAACTTGGGCACTGTCCTCATGTAATGAGCCAGGCATAGCAGGGCAAAAGCCACTTACTTGGAGAGCTGCTACCACTGTAGATTGCATGACTATTGTAAAAGTGGCCGTGGTGGTGGAAGATAGTAGTGCTGGTGGCTTGCTGCAGGAGGAAGTCTGTTGAGGTTGTGATGATTCTTGCTGTTATTTGCTCTGTCCTTTTGGACCGAAAATAACACTTGTAAAATTGGCAGAGAGGCAACTTTCTGGAAAACTTTGAAAAATGAGGGAATTTCATTGCTCTGGAAAAGTAAGGGGAAAATCAGGGAATTTGTAGGAGAAACATTAATAGTCAAGATAAATTTTCAGAGGTTTATGAAGCCAAATATCATTAATTAAAAACATTAGTACAAATTACTTTTTGATTGATTTTAATTTGTTGAAAAAATATTGCTAATATGTACTCTCATTGTGGCATGAGATAGCCGACTAATTAGCATCAGAATACCTTCATTATTTTCTTGAAATAGTGTGAAATAAAAAAATCTTATCGAGAAAAGAATCCATTAAAAACCACTAATTCCACTAAAAACGAAGAAAGTCAGAGCAATTTATTTCAAGAAAGGTGTGGCAACCCTGATTGATGCAGTAATATTGAGTATATTATGTATTTGTAACAGTGTGCAGCAAATGTATTACTGAATATGGGCGACGATGCAGATATCATACGGTTGGTATAAGATGCAAGTCAATCTTTGCCAATTGTCAAGAAACATGCACCAATGGCCGTCCACCAGAAGATGAGGAAATGAGCAAAAAACAGAAATTCTATGTTGGTGATTTAATACATAAAGTTTGTGTAATTAGTGTTAATGTTTTTTAAATGAAGGAGTACAGTCCACAATTTAAATATTTTGTAAACTACCGATTTTCATTCGATGTATCACATAAAAGTATTAATCAATTAGAAAAGTTTATTGGATTTATGGAGGGGTGGTGGAAATTCCAATCCACTATTAATTCTCAATGTATTTATAAAAACAATGTTAATTGAAACTTTAAGATAAGATTTGATACTAGAGAAGGCTTGGGACTATCCCAGTCATGATTAACTAAGACAGTCATTAGGAAAAGCAACAGAATAACTTATCGCAAAGCAAAGTACTTAAAAAAATATTTGTGTTCAATCTTTATCTAATAAACTATGGGTTAATTTTTCGTATCTGATGTCATTGCAGAACCAATAATCTCTGACACTTTCAGGTTTATGTGCTTCAAAATAAAATTTAATTAAATGTGTTCATGTTTTTTGCACAAAATTAGCAAATACATTTTGTTGATAAATGTTGATCAAATGTTGAATTTCTTCAATGCGTTGAATATATAATTATTCATTTATATAAAGGAGAGAACTAAAAATGGGCCTTGTAAACAAAAGCAAGGATTTTTTAAGTATATAAAACTTCAAAAGGGTTCATTTTACACCAAAACCTTATAAGAACTTTTTTGTAGGAAATTTTGACTACTTTAATTTTGAGTAGACCATAATTTTAGGGAGGATTGATAATTATGAAGATGTGGAATAACCACCTGTAAACGAACCCCACCCCACCTCTGGCTTATCCCCCACGTTTCAGGATTTTTACCATAACGTGGGGTAAGTACCAACATACAATCAAGCCAAATTTCAAAACTTTGGGAATTTTTCACTTGATTTGTCTAATTTGACTTGAGTTAAATAGACAGCAGCTAGGAAGGGAGCTGTACAAAACTAGAAGATAGGCTCAACCAAAAAGAAAAGGGATATCTCTGTATTCTATTGCTTCTTCTTTTTCTTAGTTTTGCGGCTCAAACAAATAGTAATGATAATTTCAGAGGAGAGCGTGTTTTGGATAAATATGTAGTAAGTTGCCTAATAATACAATTTTAGCTCGGCTAAATTTATTAATCCATTTAAGGTACAGCAAGGTCCAGTCGATTTTGCCTCACTGGCCCAAACTGAGTTGCATCCCAGGTGATTTCACTTTGATTGTGTTAGGAAAAATGAATGAATTGTACAGATTTTGGCACTTTTAATTTAAAAAATAGCATCCATTTCTCTATCTATTGGACCCAAGTACACCACATATGTTTGATGGGATGTGATGTGGGGCAGTAGGAAAGTTGAAGAATTTAATGGTTTCTTCACTTTTTATTTAAAACATAAAATGTATTTTCCCTTTTGTTTTCGTGTGTCATTCAGATTAGAGTGGAGACTGATATATCTACTGTATAACACCATATCCTGCTGTAGCAGCTTTTGGACTTGAGACTAAAGAATTAATTTTAACAATTTTTGCTTTGTGTGTGTTGGGGGGGGGGGGTCAAAAAAAATATACATCCTTGTCACCTACATAAATTTTTATCATCTCTGGATCAGCACTTTGGATGTTCTTTTACACAAGTCTCAAGGCAATGTTCAAAAGCAAGTAAACTACTTGAGTTATGCACAAGATACATACTAGTCCATATAATGTCATAGTAAAATTCTTCTCTTTTTATCTCGAAGACTCTCAAATAGAATATCACCACTTGTCATCTTCAAATTTTGTATTGTTTCGAATACTTTTTCATGCTATGTATAACTTGAAAAAATTAAAAGAAATGCAAAAATTTGGGTTCATAAACTCACATTGAGTGTGTAAATGTTGTAATTTAGGTGTGGAGAATTGGAAGAACCAGTCCGCATTCATTCAACTTCTGTGCTCCGAAGGGAGTATCCTGAGTGGGTGATTTACCAAGAAGTATATGAAGTAGAAGGTCAGCGCTTATTTATGCGAGGAGTCACTGCCATTGAGCCTGAGTGGCTGCCCTCTTTGGCTCCTGCTTTGTGTCACCTTTCCTTGCCTTTACCTGAGTACACTCCAACTTATGATTCCTCAACAGATAGCATACAATGCCACATCACTGGCACTTATGGTAAGAACAACATTCAGAATTTATCACAGTGGGAAAATGAATTTGTTATTTAATATTGTCTGTTTCAAATATTAGATGTGTGTGATTTTGTACGCATCAAATTCAATTACTAATAATTACTAACAGTTATTGTCAATATGTGAATTTGTGATGTTATTGAAATATTTTAATATTCAAAATTTAAATGTTGATCACTGCACTCTAATGCTAGAAATATGATCGCTTACTTAGAAATGAATATAATTACCAGTTCATAAATTCACTTCATTTTATGGGTTCAAAAATAAAATCTCAAAAGGGTTAATTAACTTTCTTCAACTGGAGCACATCATTTAATGTTCTGAAATGAAATTTTAGCAGTTATAGGTACTCAAATAATGGCAAAATTTTATCAGTCTTGGGTAGTACTCAAATATTTCAATGTGATTATGGGCTGGTCTGGCTTGAAGGACATCACAAGTGGTGTATGTATGGTGACTTTAAAATTTTATTTGCAAGAATTGAAAATTGATACTGTCACCAGGATTCAGAAGGGTTCTATTATTAAAAGTCTAAAATTGTGAAATGTAGCTCCTTCCCAATATGATGAAATAGGGGGAAACTGTTTTGAGATCCATCATTGAACATCCACTCATTGGAAGGCTACTATTAAGAGAGTAACATTTGTTACTGTTGTTTAACATGTCTTCTGATTTTGTTCACTGCTTAGGTCGAGCTGCGTGGAATTTACCTATTGTTCAAATTGAATATCCATCTGGCTTAGAACGATACAAATGGTTTGCTGTCTTCTTCCTTAATGGATCAGTATGCCCCAAACTTGCAAGCTACACATCAGAACTTCTCTCTACTCCAGCCAGTATAACTAAAGTTTGGGCTAAGTAAGATAATTTGTTTTGTGTTTTTTGTGCTTTAACAGGATGAAAGAGTGTGTACATAAAATTATAATATTTTATTTTTTAGCCTGCAACCGCGAACAGAAATTTTTCTAAAAACTTTGATGGCGTATCAAGTTGACACAAAAGCAAAGTTACTCGAACAGTGGAAGCAGGATGCAACATGTAAGTATTTTTTTTTATTTTTTTAATATCCATGATGTGAACAATATTTCTTAAAATGAAAGATTAAAATCAAATGTGCTTTTCTTTATTTTTATGTTTTTGCAGATTTATTAGAACCATATAAGAAATGGTTGCCTGAATCAGCACACAATGATGTGATTAACATTTGGCCACCATTGTAATAACTTACATCTCAAGGAAGAAATTCTCGATGTGTAAATTATGTGTGTGTTTGTTTTGTAAATACTGAATGAAGTGTTAATTAAATGTTTTCATTGAATATAAATATTATTTTACAGTAGTCATTTGTTGCCAGATTAATACAAATTAACGTATTATGGTTTATGTTCAGTTGTCATAGTTACTATAATAATAGTTTATTTTAACCTTGATTCCATAATGCTGCCTATTGATTTTTATGTAAACAATGCTTTTAAAATGAAGATTAGGTTATAAAATGGCAAATCATACAAAGAAACCTCCAACATCTCAGGGTTTCTAAACATATTCTTGGAATTTTCAAGCTTGCATATATGAACATCAGACAAGCATAAATGTACTTGCATAAAATGGAAACATTTGTGGATTTTATTTGTGGCACTGATTGAATGAAGATGAGATCCATACAAACACATCAAGAAGTAGAAAACCACGAGGTAAATGTCAGTTAACATGCAGGAACTTATTCTGTTATGTAGTTATCGGCTTTATCTCTTTCTCTAGTGTTAGTTGTATTGACTATGTATGATGTATACATACATTCCACAAGTTATTATAACTCCTCTCTATAACTATTTTTGATACAGAGAAGTGATTTATATTGTATGTCATGAGTAAACAAATTGTCTGAGAGTCTTGTAATGAAATAGCTTTTGTTAACATTGGGTGAGAGTGGACAAAAGTAGGCAAGTAGAGTAGTGAAACTTATTTTGGTTTTGAAATTGAAAACTAGTCTAAACAAGTTGCCTCAATGAAATAAATCTTTGATGTAACTGTAGGTAACATATTATGTAACACATTTGTGCCATTCTGTGTTTACTTAAATTGTTAGTTTGAATCTCTTGCATCATTTTTCTGGTTTCATATAATACTTCTTTCAAATTAGAAAATGCGTGTTTGTATGAGATGACTCTTTTCAGTTATTTTAGTTTCTGATTTATTTGGAAATACAGTGAAACGTCTTTAAGCTGACCCTGTGATTACGACCTTAAAATTGGTCTTTTAGAGTGGTGGTCGCCTTAAAGGGAACTATCACACTATTAAACTGTACTCACTACTGCTGCTACGACTACTATGATAGACATTGTAACACCGTTCTGGTTTCAAATAAAAACTTTATTGTACTGCATCATTAAATTACTTTGATCAACTGTATTCATTAATTAATATGAATATAAAAACTAATAGTATAGTGTACTAAAAGATTTGTTCTTCTTCAGATAATATGTTATTGACATAAAGTGATCTCCTGATTATCATAATCCAGGGGGTATTATTTTGCTTCTGTGAAATTATCTTTGAATTTTATATCGCAATAGTTTCTCTATATTTCCTGGGAGATCTCTCCTTTGGAGTTATCGTGAAAACTCTTGCACCTCATCATTGTTGCTTATCTGAAAGACTCCGAAATGGCTTGACTCAGAGTTATTTCCAAACTTTCAGGTTTATTATTTCAGTACAAGGTTTTCTGTTCATCTTAAAGAGAATGCAATGTTACATAGTGACAAAAAATTGAGGTCTTTGGTTGGAAAGAGGGGTAGTCAACTTTAAAGGGGTAAAAATGCATTGGTCTTATGGAATAAGTATTCCGTGCCATAGAAAACTGGTCACAAAAAGGGGTGGTCTTGAGGAGAGGTTTCAGTATGTATTTAATATAATGATGCATCATCAGAGCATTAGTTTCTCAGAGCTTAAAATAAATATTGTATAACGTAAGAAAATTGTGAAAATCTACTCTCATTAGAGTTAAATTCATTCCATGATCAATTTTACTTCTTACTCGTAGTCTTAAAAAAAATGGTGCAAGATATAAATTAGAATTTCTTTCCTTTCTTTCTTTCCTTTCTTTCTTTCCTTTCTTTTCTTTCTTTCTTCCTTTCTTTCTTTCCTTCCCCCAAGTAGTTATACATTTTCTAAGCAGTGTGGCAGGAAGTCTCTCCACACTGGACCAAGATAGGGCCTCCTATTGAAAATTGCATTTGTTGTATGTTGGTAGCAACCAGATCAGTGGGAAACATTTCCGTTGCTACCACTCTCACCAGCAAGGTGCCAGTGCGAAGAGACTTTCCTAGCATGCTGTATTTACATTCTTGGACACATTTTTCTCATTATCTCTGAAACTACCCAAGTGATCATTTTCAGTTTTCGTAGGGGGGAATTAAGTAATATTGAATATCTTATATCAAAATGAGTTCAATAAGATTCATACTTCAGGATTTCAGTGTAAGAGTATAAAAAATAAAGTAAAAATTGGTCCTTTTTACTTCTTCATGCTGTAAATTACAAAAACCATCCAAAAGATGTATATTTGCTTGTATTTAATCATACTCCTAAAACTTTACAGCACTAGTTTCTGAGATAATGGGTCATGTAAACAGCCAAATTAACATAGGGAGCAGGGGCTTTTTGTCTCCCCTTAATGAAGAAAGAGAGTACTTTTTATATAGTCCTATTGTAGGTTTTGCAGTTTCTCTAGACCCATGCTTTCAATAATTACAATGTGCATTTTAATGTCTGAACATTTACCCACTTACAATGTTCATTGATTTCCTTTAGTGGTCTGCCTGAATCAACAAGTTCAGAATCTCTAAACGTTTGAAGGTACTTACCTGATCTAAATTTTAAAATGGCTGGCAAAGATGATAGTGATATTCCCCATGCTGAGGGTGGAGGAGTAGAAACTCAAGAGTCTGGTGCATCAGTTGATATTTTTGGCCTTTTTGGTGGGTCTCCAACACCTGCACCTCAAGAATCTTCTGGGGGAGCGCAGGGAATACAAGATGAAATTGATGATGAACCTGCCTCAGAGCCTCGTGTTTCTGAATCAGAAGGTGCAGAACCTCCAGAACCTCCTCAGGAGGAAGGTGGTGGAGGAGATGAGGAAGAGGAGGAGGAAGAATTTGTTTCAGCCACAGAAGGTGCTCCAGGTGAAGGAAAAGAAGAAAAGAAAGAAGTTGAAGATGAAGACCAAGAAGAGAAAGGAAGTAAGGCAGAGGTTGAGGAAACTCCAGAACAAATCGCTGAAAGTATCATGGAGATGATCATAAAGAGCACTGAGCAACTTGCTCATTCAGTGTCACTTGATTCTCTTGTACTGAGTGAACTAAAAGAAACTGAGGAACAAGCTGCAAAGCTAGCTCAATTATTGGCAGAAAGAAAGGAAGAAATTCTAAAATTGAAGGAGAAAGGCCCATTAACTGTGTCAGATGTGGATCAGATTAAAGAAAAACAGTTTGAAATTAAGGAAATGATAGCAGAATTTGAAGAGCTGACAGCCAAAATGAAAGAACTGCTGGAAAAGTCACTTCGACCTTCAGGTGCAGTCAAACCAGGAGTAGAACCTTGTCCCAAGTGTGGAAAAGAAGAATGTGTGTGCCAGTTACCTGGTGATGAAAACCTACCCCCTGTTATTTGCACTTGTAAAGATGAGGTGTGTACTTGTGATAAGCCAAAATCTTATATACCAGGTGGTTGGTATGACCTACAAGTGCCTGATCTCTTTCCACATACTCCAGAAGTACGTGAAGATAAAGAATGTGTTTGTAAGAAAGAAGATCTTCGACAATTCAATATAATAGCAGATATTATGCCAAAAGTTGTAGTGTGTGCCCCCGATGTTTCATTACCAAGAATAATTGTTTGTGAACCATATACACCATTAAAACAAAAACCAAGGAAACCTCATGTATGCGCACCAAACCGTGCTTGTAAATTGGATAGATATTAACAAAATCTTCATAATAAAAAAGATGGTTTCCTTAAAATTGTGTTTTCAGTTATCTATATAACGTATTTTGGCTGATAATTTCTTTAATTCTGTTTCTGGAATTTGATTACGTTCCAAGAAAATTATTACATGCAATAATGAATGAAAGTACTTCCTTACAGTCACACATCAAACTGAGTATTCATGACAAACATAGTGACCAAAACACTTATCAATATTTCAAATTGTTTTGATAATGAGTTAAAAGAGAATGAATTGAACTCTTCCAATGCAATATTATCTCTTTATATATAAAAATGGTTGTTGATGTATACAAGACTGGTAAAGTCTGACACCATGGGACCAAACTCTATGGAAGTTGGCACATCTGTTTTTTCACACAGGTTTCTGTGCTATTAATTTTGTTGTAACTCCACTCAATGACACTGCAGAACAAAATTGTGCTTCATTTTAATTCAATTCCCTTTCAAACTGCACTCCACCTGAACTTCATTGTTGCCGAGCTTTGCCGTGTTATGCAGGGGACAGGGACAACTTGGAAGATCTGTGATTTTGAAACACATTATTTAAATTTTGTAGGTACTTTAAGCCTCTGGGATATTTTCTCAAAAATGGTATCTTTTTTTTTCAAATTTCTTGTAAGAATTGACGGAAATACACTTCCCAAAATAGCATTGGTGGAATATTCATGGTTAACTCAAAATTTTTTCAATGTCTTCCTACACTTACAAAATTGAAGATAAGAGAATTTTTTTTCAATGAGATGTTCTCCACAATTTGTTCAAGTGATGACATGTACATTTCTATGAACATGATAGTAGTTTTTGTATAAATTTAAGTGAAATGTAGGCAATATTAAAACGTGATTTTCTCAAAAATAGCCACAAAGTTTTTATTTCAACTTTTTGTTGGGACAGTGCTAAATACACCAAATAACATGGTATTAATACCATTTTGATTTACTCGCTTGATTTGTTTCAAAATTACACAAATATACGTTTTTGGAAAGATATATCTCACAATGTTAATATTTGCATTACAGATGTTTTTTAAGACATAGCTACATTTTTGCATAGAAATAATTCAAATGATATCTGTAGTTTCTAAGAAACTCAAGTTTTCTGTGAAAACTAACTCAAAATGGCGAATTTTTGGAAACTTTCAAGTGGCATTTCCTGTAACGTGTGGAAAATGTACATAAAAGAGGGTTTTATCCTGCTACAATCTTTAAGTTTCCATTCCAGTACTAGGAACTTGAGAAAACGTTAAACAGATCTCTTGACTTAAGCTTGAGATGGCAGCTGGGAAGAGAGAGGGACAAAATCAAAAATTAGCCAAGGCTAAAGAAATTAGAAAACCAACTTATACAGAAAAGTCTGTGCCATTCTGTAGCACCACTAGTTTTTATATACTTGTAAAGAACCTGTTGGTCTGTGCATATTCTACACTATGTTATTGCATTATCTGTGAAAACTGGTCATTAATTTAACCCGAAAAGTGTACTGTCCAGCTGATTTTAAGTTTTTCATTTATGCTGAATTTAAAATTTATTTTTATTTGCTGATTTAACTATATTTAAAACACACTCAATGATTGACATTACTACAGAAACTTTGTCAAAAATAGATTTGTGAATATGTGAAATTTGTTTTCTATTCGGGTATGCCACTGCTAATAAATAATGCTAGTTAACTGATACTCATACTATTTTCTCTGGTATCTCTTATTTTTCAATTTTTAGCCAAATTGAGGTCAAAATATTAATAGGAATATTAGTTCAGAGGTAATCAAAAACATTTTCATATTTTTTATTAAACATATTTGTATCCTATCATTGTATTGTTTTACATAATGTAGAGTAAATCTAGTTAATCTGAAAAAAATAAATTAGGCCTAAGTAATTGATAAGAATTTTTTTCACTATTATAATTGAACCATCTCTTCCATACACCCTTACCTATATGGTTCATATGATGTTTTGTGCGCTTCACTCTCATAAGACCAATGAGAGCCAAATACACTTGGGTGACAATGAAATTATTTAAGAGGCTCTTTAATGCCTGAAAAACCTTAAAATAATTTTGTCAAAGTAAAGCCTTCCAGAATCTAAAACCTCAAATGAATTGAAAGATATTAATCCATTTCTTATTTTCTTGTACGTCAGTTTTGAAAACTTGTTGCGATTATCAAATGAAAATTCAAATCAACAATTTTATTATGATGTTTTTCAAATTACAATAAAAAGATTAAGAAAATTATGGATCTGTCTTAAATCATAGAGCAGTTGTCAAATTCTACACTAACCTGCAAAGGAAAAGAATTGCAGGATAATACATAATTTTCAACACACCTTATTACAGTTTTATCTTTGAAGGTAATTTATAGATATGGTACAGCTAGTAAGAAAGGATTAATTCATTCCACAACAATTTCATTTGTGTGAAACGTAGTTTAAGAAATTTTATTATTTTAAGTTTGTGTGAAACGTAGTTTAAAAAATTATGTTATATTGTCAAAAGTCAATCCATCACAACAGGATCGAGTTTCATAAATAGAATTCCCAAAAACACACAATTAAATTTTAATCTATGAAATAATGCTCTTTTTAACTGATGATTCTTCTCCAAAAATTAATTAAAAATGTAAATTCTTGGTCTCTACTACCTTCACAATTAACAATCTCTAAATTATTTTGGCAACAATTACACATCAGCTAGAAAACATTTTTTTTATAACAGCTGCATAATTTGCATCTTTTTCTTTCATTATTATTTTTAAATCTGAATATTTTTCTTTTGCAATGGCATTACATGGCTCTATTTGTAATATTTTTTGTAAATCATCCTTTGCTTCATCCAGTTTTTTAATATTCATATATGCCACTGACCTACGATACAGTGATTTAATATTATTTGGATCTAGGATTAGAACTTTACTACAAAGAGTAATGGCATGAATGTAATTCTGAAATTCAAGTTGACAATTTGCCATATTGTTTAAAAGAGCTATTCTTAAAGAAAGAAAGTCTTCAGAATCTTTATTTTTTTCAGAAGTAACTTTAATTATGTTCAGAATCTTAAAACTCTTGCTAAACCTAAGAAAAGATTCTATTTTCCTACCACTATTAAACAATTTCACACCTTCGGTTTTGTGTTTAAGTGCCAAGTCATGAATTTTTTCAATTGTCCACATATATATGGGGGTATCATTGGTCAAGTCTTCTAGTTTGATAGAACACTGAATAACATAAGGGAACACAGAACATTCTTCCTGCTTGAGGTTACTAATGGAAGGTAATTTAATATTGAAGCTGCTGGTTTCTCCTACCAACATTGATTGCACACACGTTTCTAACGACTTGTCAATAACACTGTCCACGTCTCCCACTTTAAAGGAACCATTAAATGATGGGTCTAAAAGTTGCGATATGGCAGTTGATTCTTGAAGGCTTTGCAGGGGCACACCTGTACACGTAACATCGTTTATTACAATTTTGACTGTTGCGTTTTCGGTGGCTTTTGAACCCCACGCGCCTTCCTGAATTATTCGCTTATGTATCACACTACTGTCACATTGAACTCTTGTGTATGCTTTGGTTTCATCTTCCGCAAACATTGTATTTAAAAGAAATTTGCGTGGTATCAGACTGAAGAACTGAAGCACTCAAAACAGAAACCTAACGAAAGGGAAATTCTGTGAATGCACGTAATATCATACTTATATCACAGTCATGGTTTCACCTAGATCTTACCCTCTTATTTACTTGCATCATAAAATTACAAAGTATAAAAGAAATGCTGTATTATGACGACTAAAAAAACATTGGCACACTAGCGCAGTAAATTCGTGTTCGGGAGAAGGGCGAACTACGAAAATAAATCAAGCTCTTTCAACATGGAAAGAACGCGGGTCGTGGGCGGGAAAGAGCAGTTGGTTCATCCAATGCATAATTTTGTTTCTTGTGCTTATCAAGCAGAGACCTAAATAATGTCCTTCCTTAGATCATATTCGTATCGTTTTTATACCGAAAAGAAATCGCAGATGAGGTAGGTACACACTTAATTCGAAATCTGTTGTTTACATTTGCATAATTTCAGAGCATTTTCGTACTCGTGCCAAGTAGAGAAACAAGTGTTAGCGTTATTATTAAATCAAAGAAACGAAAGTATTCTGGTAAGGTAGATAAAGTATCAAAACTCATTATTTTTACTTCATATCTTAATTAGTTCAATATTCAAATTACAGTATGTTAAAATATATTCTAACAATTTTGTTATTGGTATTATTTTTTTTAAATTAACATAAAACTTAAAAACTACGAAAATTAATGAACCAAAACTTAATTTTAAGAAAATAAATAAGAAACTATTAAATAATGTATATAATTTAATAGTTTCTTATTTATTAATACATAATATATATATATATATATATATATATATATATATATATATATATATATAGATAGATAGATAGATAGATTAGATATAGATATAGATATAATATAGAGCATATAGACATAGACATAGACATAGACATAGACATAGACATAGACATAGACATAGACATAGACAAGACATATACATAGACAGAGACATAGACATAGACATAGACATAGACATAGACATAGACATATATATAGTGGCTGTCGGGTGCAAATTAAGGTTGAAATTTTGGGAAAGTGTGAAAAATTTACAGGGCTACAATTAGTAATTAGCCCTTTTTACTTTCCCGAATACATAAGTATATACGGAGTAATATATGCTGTATAAGGAAAGTTATATAATGCTCCGCGAAAAAAAAAAGCGAATTTTCGGCAGAAAAAAATCATTGCTGAGCACTGACGCTTGGATAAATCCAGTTGCTAAATTAATAAAAAAATTGTCAAACACGTGATATAACCAGAATCTTTGTTTCGGGGGTCCTTGGTAACGACCTGACAGTTGACGGCAAAACGACTGTCAGTCTGTGAACACCATTAGCGCCTAAACCGAACGCATGATTTTACAATGGATATTCCCCGGTTGATCTGGCTCCACTCGAGGCGCCGCGATTTTGAAAACTTTGTTGTCATATACATTTTTTCGAAAATTTTAGTTGTTTTCGCGCAATATTGCGAGCAATATCTACTTATTTTTAATTACAAAAACTAGATTTTCTCAAAAACAGCTCCAATTTGTTTTCTTTAAACGTTTGTTAAGGATAGTATTAAATGTACTCTATTCGACAAAACACCATATTGCTCTATTCTGTTGTTTTTTTTTCGGAATTTACTAAAATATATTTTTAACTTGTCTCTTACATCATTAGTATTTCCATTAACGGCAATTTGTTCAAATTAATTTATTTATGAGTATATGTGCTCCAAAAATGCCATATAGTTCCTCGAAAACTCAACCGCTTTCTGTTAAAATTAGCTCAAAATTCCGCATTTTCAGAAACAAATGCCATTTTCTCAAAAACCGCTCTAATTTTTTTCTTCAAACTTTTCTAGCGTAAAGTGCAAACTACACTGTTTAAGACGACATACAATTAATTTTGCTGTATTGTTTTTTTGTTTTTGTTTTTCAAAAACAAATGTACACAAATGGTTTTTTTTTAAATATCTCTCACGCTTTTAATATGCACATTACCAGCGGTTTGTAAGCATTATTGCATTTGAGAGTTAAAGTGCTTTAAATGACTTCTAACAACGTTTTCGGAAAACTCAAAAAATGGCATCTGGCAAGAGTTTGTTGCAAGTCAGAGTAGCAAGCCGAGACCAAAGGAAATAAAATACTAATACAGGAAACTCTGTGCCATTCTGTTGCATCACTAGTATTTATGAGTGCAAGTGCTTAAATAATGTCAAATACAATTTCTAGAAAACTCAACAGTTTTCTGTAAAAATTGGCTCAAAATTCAGCAGTTTCAGAAAGGCTCAAGTGCCATTTTCTCATAAATTGCTCCAAATTGTTTCTTCAAATACTTTCGAACGGATAGTGCTAATTGCATGTTTTAATATGTCGCAAAGTGTGGTAAGTCCGAATAGCTAACTGAGACTAAAGGAAATAGAAAACCAATACGGGAATGTCTGTGCCATTCTATAGCATCACTAGTCCCTTATCAGGGCCCGGCAATGATATTTTTCTGCCGATAATCCGCCGTTATTTTCTCGCTGCATTACATAACTTTCCTTGTATTCTGTATTATACGAGTACTTTTCTCCATTACCGACCACAGAGCCACCAGGCCTTGGAGTATTGCCCGTTCTTTTTCTATCTAATACAATTTTACATAACATTTGTCTCTTTTTGCCGCAAGATGTGTCGCCAATTAGCAAAATTAAGGGTTATTCAGCTCGTCCATCCCGTTTCACTCGTAAATATTTAACAAGTTTACTCAACGAGAGCTTCAATTGTGTTGATCTTATACAACTGAGTTTTTACCAGTTATTTCCAGAACTTTTATGAATGTAATGGTTATTTTGTAATTGAGTTTAATGGTTAAATTTCGAAAAATATAATTACAAATTATTGCCAAGAGTTTACTTCTACTTTTTGACGTCCTGAAATGTTCAATTTCCTTAAATGCGGAAACTTTTTTATTATTAAAAAAAGTTCAAATATTCAGCGGATGAAATGACAAGGGAAGATCAAATTTTGAAATATGAGATCATTCACATTTGTGTATGAATCATGGTTCTTGAGTTACACGGTTATAAAAACAATATTTAGTGCGTTCGAAACGAACATGTCATGTCGTTTGGTATCTGTGAGAAAAAAAACTCCAAATTTCGAATGTACAGTAGCGCTTTAACGCCATTTTCTTAAAAACGGCTCGAAAGTTTTCAAGGAAATTTGCCATTTAGGGCGAGCTTTTACCCTTATTTAATATACTTTAAATAATATATCCGTTCTGTTATTTGGAAACCGAAAAACAAAGAAAATTTTTTTAAATGTAGTTTCATCGACGATAGAAGGCAGCTGGCAAGAGTATGTGGCAAGTCCGAAGGTGAGACCAAAGGAAATAGAAAACTAATACGGGAAAGTTTGTGCCATTCTGTAGTACCACTAGTTTTTCATTTGTACAAAGTACTCCGGATAAATTGATTTATATCGCCGAAATACTTTTTTTTACACTTCAATTACGATTTCCAACGTAAAACATTTACGATTTTTAACATAAAACATTTTAATCCCTAGTGTAGTTTTGCCTGACTTAATCCGCTGCCCCCTTTCGGAGAATGGGAACTGAGTGCTGAGGTCTTGAATCTTAATTGATTGCAGATCATTATTCTTCGTAGACTCAAAATGTTTCAGTCACTGCTCCTAAACGTCCTAAGCGACAACTTTAGTACTTTACATGTACACTGAAGAGCCAAAAAACTGGTTCACCTGCCTAATGTCGTGAAGGGCTCCCGCGAGCACACGGATGTACCGCAACACGACGTGGCAAGGAGTCGACTAATGTCTGAAATAGCGTTGGAGGGAATTGACACTATGAATCCTTCAGGGCTGCCCACAAACTCGTATGAGTACGAGGAGACGGGTATCTCTTCTGAACAGCATGTTGCAAGGCCTCCCAGGCCAGAGAGTATATATCCCAGACATGCTCAATAAGTTTGTACATTATTTACAAATATGTACATATTATTTACCTTCGTTCAGGAGTTTAAAAACTTCCTCACAATATGGCAAATGTCTAGGACTACTGATTTTTGTAGTCCGTGATGCACTATGTATGGTATTTTTAGTTGTAGTAGTGTTGATTTCAGTTGTTTGACGACAATTCCTGGGGCCGATATGACGAGTATTAGGATGCTGATAACTTCTTGTTTCCAGGGCATTTAATTTCTACGGCTAGATCTGTATTTTGTTGCCTTTTCTTGAATTTTGTTTTGTAGATTATGGGTATTGGGCATTGAAACATCAATGAGGAAGGTTTTCTTTTGTAAGCACTGTTGTGATATCTGGTCTGACTGTGATGGTTTTACTGGTAATAATGAAGGTATTTTAACTAAAATTTCAGTTTTTGGTACACAATATTGACAGCTGGTGCCACTCATGAATAGGGTTGCAGCTCCATCAGATGACGGTAATGTAATTTAAAAGGTGCAATGATGGTTCAGTGGTGTCTGCGCCATGAAGACTAAGTCTTCACGCTCTGCACCTCACTCCGTGCACTGCGCTTTGTAAAAGTAGTTGCAAACATAATTGATATGTATTATTAATGTAATTATTATTATTATTATTATTATTATTATTATTATTAATAGTAATTTATTATTATTATTATTATTATTATTATTATTATTATTATTATTATTATTATATTATTTATATTATTATTATTATTATTATATTATTATAAGTAGTAGCATTAAAATAGCATATTGAAATGTTAATTATTAGCAGATAATTTATCTACTGTATAATATCTTAATCTAACTGTAACAAGTATTGTATTCTAGGCAATGACCCCCATCTCGATCAGGTTTTCTTCAGTTTTCCTGGTCCTTTGAGCAAAGGCTGAGATGGCCCCTTGTTTGCTCCTGTAACAGTAATGTAACTTCGCTCTCTTCACCCAAGGCATCATATTGACCGTCATACACGATTGTAATTGTAATGTGATCAATATTATTATTATTATTATTATTGTTATTATTATTATTAAGTTTGATGCGGTTTGAGATTAAAAAGACGCTCCGTTCGCGCTGGCGCAGCGCGATGGTGATGGCGATGTTCGCCATGTTCTCACGGAAGTGAACCCTTTCTGTCTCGTTAGTTACGATAAGGGCTAAGAGCAACACTGTAGAGGCTACACAGTATCTTACACTGTGGGCGATGTTGTTAGAGCCAAGAGTTATAAGCGGCAGCTTTAAGAATGGTATAAGGGTTGTCCATAAATTTGCGTAACGCTAAAAAGGGAATAGTGAAGGTGCGTTATGCTGCATTGCATAGGGATAGGAGGTATTAGTTTAATACTAGGTAACATTGATATTTATTTTTTAACATTTTTCATTATTTTTTGAAATAATTCATTTTTTAGTCTTATACTAATACATTAAAACACTAACTAATATTTACCGGCAGAGGAGATTCAGAACATCTGCTGATGCCATTGCAGTATCTCTGACTGGGAGGTCTTAGGTTCGAGTCCACACAGCAGCAGGATTTTCAGCAATAGCCACGTAGCTATGTCAAATTCAGCCGCCGTCAGAAGGGGAATACTAGCCGCTGGCGACTTTGATAGGTAGTTTTCCATGCTTTCTCCGACTAACACCAGGCGAATGCCGGAGCAGTACCTTAACAAACGGGCAACGGAACGCGCGCGATCTTTCCTTCGTCTTCCATTTCCTATCCTCGCCCTTACACTATCATGCACTTCACTACCACACATGCCGGTCGGACCGGTCGGACTTGTCCCGGCAGGGCGGTACCCTGCTGGTGGGAGATTTTATTTATTTGAATCCCTGTGTCTTTAATGTCTACAAAATAATTTTGTGCTATCATAGCACATGTTATTTGTATTATACGTTATTTGTTTTACTAATTAAGTATGGATTAATTCAAACTGGCAAGTCTTTTACCAATAAGCTTCTGTGGCTCCTTTACCATCGACGTACATCACAAGCGCGCGTTAGGGATATTTAATATTTCCACCCACTAGGGGTGGATTTTGATGACCTGATAGTCAAATGTGATCAATGAAATGCTCTTAAAATGTTTTTAAAAGCAAGAATAATGCCCTAAAAGCAAGAAACATTACGAAAAAATGTGATCAAAACCAGTTTGGATGAACAATTCATTACATTATTTACTGTTGAAATCCAGGCTCCTCTTCGTTCAAGTAAATTCCGCTTGAAAACTTCTGGTTTGTACGGTTCTTTATCAGGAAATCTCTCTCTTTAGTTATCCCGAAATCGGCTGAACCGACTATGGCATTGATAGGCGTCATAAGAATCTTAGATTACATACTCACTACGGCTGACTACAATTTCTGAGTCAAGAAATCGAATAGGCTACTCAGTCGAAATTTTTGCTGACAATATTTTTGTCGCATACGCCTCCTTCCTTGACTCACAACTTTTCCCCAATCTAATTGCTTGGTACAGTCAGTATCGTCAATTAATTCATCCTTTAATTATCGTAAATTTTAATACAGAACCAAAAATAAAATGAATACAAATTGTTTTTCTTGAACTATAATCTATTTTCACTTCTTGCATTTACAGGGGGGCTGTCGCAAGCGTTAAGAGTTCAAGCGGGCGTTCGGGTGCGTTACAAAGGGAAGAGAGGGTATTCAAAGTACTCCAAATTCTATATTAAGTAATTGTGGACGGCCATCAAGTGTATTCGACATTTCACTCGTGATATAATTTCACCCTGGCTTTTTCGTGTGCATTCGACCGTTCGAATGTTCTAAGGGTTGATTTTTCGCACTCTGGCGAAGGACGCGTGAAATGCAACACGTAAATTGAACTCAACGACATCTAGTTGCTGCCGAAGTAGGTAATTGAGCATCAGCTGGGAAGTCAGCTGTGTTTCTGTCGTGTCTTGGACATAAATATTATACTCGAATAATACGTATACCACCATTAGATATAGAGTAAACAAGCGTTTAAATACATTCATCTGTGATTTTGTAATTTTATTTATGCGGAATTCTATGAAAACACTATTTGGAATGATTATTTAAACGAAAGTCTCGTTGAGCAGGCCTACGTAGAAAACCATGAAGACCTTGCGACGTAAGGCGGTGCGTACATGTCAATGACGATTTTGTTTAATACCACTCATTCGAGCTCCAGCTGCCGAACTTTTTCACCTTTCTCGGTATGTTTATGGATTACTTAAAGATGTGTATCGCAATAACTAGCTTTTTTATTACTATTTTGTGATTTGTAATGTGACTCCTGAAATACATTTGTTAAAACCTCAGCTGATTGTCCTTGAACCCCCCAGGGGTTGTTTACGTTTTTGTTTCATCTTATTCCTTCCATACCATCCTTACCTGAAGAAACTTTTTTATCTTTGATGTTGGACTGAAATACTGCCAATATTTTCTTTTTAGCGTGATGTTATTTACTACTATGAGCTATATTCAGCTGCAGTAATGGAGAACAACGACCGACGCAAAAAAGAAGTAACCGCATCGGGCAACAAATGACTTTTTTTTAAAAAAAACATTTAAAACATTTGTTTCAGGTACAGTGAAAGAAAATTTCTACGAAGTTATAACTACAGTTGTTTTTGTCAAAATGGGTGGTGCTGTTAGTGCTGGAGAAGATAATGATGAACTTATTGATAATTTACTTGAAGCTGATTACATAAAAAGCCCATGTGTAGAACGTGTTTTTCGGGCTGTAGATCGGGCTCATTATTTTACCCCTGAGTTTCAAGACAATGCTTACAAGGACTTAGCATGGAAAAGTGGCAATTTACATTTATCAGCCCCATGCATATATAGTGAAGTAATGGAAAGTTTATGTCTCTCTCCTGGACTGAGTTTCTTAAATTTAGGTTCAGGAACCGGTTATTTGAGTACTATGGCAGGTTTAATACTGGGTGAGAGTTTTTTTCACAATCTGTCATATATTGTTGCTCTATTTTTCTCTAATATTTTAATAATACTTTTCAGGTCCATATGGTACAAATCATGGTATAGAAATCCATCAAGATGTTGTTAATTATGCAATTTGTAAATTAGAGGAATTTAAAAAAACATCTACTGCTCTGGATGAATATGAATTCTGTGAACCAAAATTCATAAATGGTATTCGTAATTATTGTTATCAGTTGTATTCATTTATTATAATCTTCCTTTTTCTTTCACACTAGGGAATAATTTATTGCCTTTTTTTTCTTTCCTTTTTTATGCTAATTATACTTTAAACAATCTTAAACAGTTTGTGTAGTAAAGGAATACTTTTTTTTAATGAATTAATTTAAGTCTAGTTATTTGTGCTGAATGCATCTGTTTTTGTTTTGACACATTTGTGTTACATTTCTCTGGATTTCTCAAGTTATGAAAGGCTTTGTTATGATCAAAGGGTAATAATAATTTTTTAAGAATTGAATATCCGTGTATTATGTATACTGACCTGTATGAAGATATTTTAACGTTTCTTTTGGCAAGGGAGTCTCTGAACAGATATCAAGATTCAGTTTCGACATTTGGAAATAAAAATATAATGAACATTAAATTTTTCTTTTTTTCATATTTCAGTAATATTTTTATTCTATTATCTCTGAAACATAGTTTTGATTCTAGGTAATTGTTTGAATCTTGGGTCTGATGTACATCAGTACGATAGAGTGTATTGTGGTGCTGCTTGTCCTGAAAACCATGAAAACTACATGAAGAATCTCATAAAGGTAAGTCTTGTATTGAATTCTTTCAGTGTCAGATTTTTAATGAAGATTCTGAATAATTTGCTCTAAATGGTTACTATTTTAAAATTAGATTGGTGGTATTTTGGTTATGCCTCTAAATGATCAACTTCTTCAAATTACTCGGACATCAGAAACAAGCTGGGATGCTAAATCAGTTCTTCCAGTTTCCTTTGCTCCATTGTTGCAACCTGAACAAAATGGTTTGAAAGGGCTCATTCTTCTCCGTAAGTAATGTCCTTACGATTAGAAAAAATAATTAAGCTAATATTGTAAATTCTTTTGAAATATCATATGTAATTTGGGTACCATTAATTGAAAATTATTCTCTGATATTTGTAGCTGACAGTGAGCCCTTGTCTTTGCAAGATGCTTGCCGGTCATCAATTCGAAACATTTTACGTCGCAACATCGAAGTGGAACATCCATCTGTTAAAAATAGGCGGCGACGTGTGCCTAGAAAAAAGATGAAGAAAAGAGCTTTAAGACGCTTTGTAATTCCAATCTTTGAGGAGTCGGATGATGAAAATTTTGGGCCAGTCATCACTGATGATGAGGAGGTAGGCGAAAGAGTTGGGGAAAGGGGAGGTCTTATTTATGATGTTCAAAGAGAACGTGTTGGTCAAATCACTGCTGTAATTGAACTTGGCCGCACACGACCTGCCAGTCATCGCCAGAATACAACTCAAAACCCTTCTGTGCTGGATGATGAGGCACCACAAACGGCTCCAATTCTTCCATCTATTTCATCTGATGAACAAAAAGAAACCACTCAGAGTGTTGCTAGCAGATCAGAACAAGTTGAAAAAACATCTAGCCATGAAGATGAAAATAAAGACATGATGATGGTGCTCGAAACAACACAAGAAGACACTGATCTCAAAACACATGAACAAGATCCTTTAGAAAATTCAGCTTCCCAAGAATTGGATTCGCAGATTACCAATAATGATGAAATTATGAATGTTATGGGTCCTCGCAAAAAGATACCTAAAAGAAAGAAGTCTGATAGTGGTGTAGGGGATGAAATAGAAAATGGAAAAGGTCTGAGTTCTGACTCTGATCATGAAGAAGATAGAACATATATGGAAATAGATTCTGATTCAGATTTTTCGGATGCAGTGCCTGCTGTGAAGAGAACATATCAATCTGATGCAAGTGGTCAGGGAAGCATGGAACAAATGGACAAAGCAGATTCTGATCCCACCCAGGATGATGATGTTCGCAGACCACCACAGAGAAGAGAAGGCCGACGTCCAAGAGAAGCTGTGATCTGGAAGAGACTTGCTTTTGCTGCTGCTGATGATGAGAGTGATGAAAAGTCGGAAGATTCAGCTGATGCTGCAACAGATCCAACAATGGACACTCAATCTGAATCTGATGATACACACTCTTACAGTATGTATATGCGTCTCAAGATCCAAGAGCTTCCTCTTCCTCCAAGTCTCAAAGATTTTCTTAATTTGTATAGAGATTTCTGATAATATTACCAAATCTGTGATGAATATTGTTGTAGAATATTATTTTCAATATAAACATGTTAGATTAAGATTGTTTATAAATACCTAATAAATTCATTAGCTAGATGTTTTTTGTGTGGTAGGTTTGTTGCTTTCCTTATAATATAGCTGTATTTAGCCTTTGCTGATAAAGGACAATGTTAAATATGTGAAAGGCAGTGATTACACATTTATATAATTAAAAATTTATGTGTATATAAAAATATAAATATACAGACATTATTATTTGCTGGAGCATTTAATTAATGAAAACTTACTGCAGATTTCAATGGAGTGAATTAACTTTGTAGTTTGAATTTTAATTAAATAGTCAAAGAATAATTAAATTTTTAACAAAAATACAAATTACTGTCCTTCCAGAATTTACTTTTGGGGGGGATGTGGAAGGAGGGGATAAAGGGTACCTATATACAGTCAGTAGGTGGATATTTTCAAATATACAATCTTGGTACACAACACTGTGTGATTGGATACAAGTAAATGCTCATAAATCTCACACTGGTGAAGGAGTGTACAGATAATATCCATTTTTCACTTATTGTCTTCTAGAAGATTTGAATAACAGGGTAAATATTAACTCTAAAAACATTTTAATAATATGTTGACTAAACATTTAAGTGTGTCACTGCAATCCATTTTTAAAAAATCTGTTGAATGCTTTGTTCAAAAGTACTTGCTCGAGTTCAACTGGTATTAGATTGTTTTGTTATTTTTGGAGCATGAACTTTGTATCGCCCAGTATGTTTGAACGTTTTTCAAGTAATTATTGATTAGTTAGTCTTGGTACTTGTGTTTTAAACATTTCAAAATGATTTTTCTTATATATTTTGTTTGTGAGCAGATCATCTGAGGGTAAGTAAAATGCAGATAGATGTGGAATTTGTCATTGATATTTATTTTGCTTTAGCTGATTTGAGCAGCAATGGGATTGTATCAGTTTTTTCATTACTTTGGTCAATAAAGTGCATTATCTAAGCTTTGTGTTTCCTTAATAAAAACCTATAGGCATATCTATTAGTATTTATGACTAGATTGCTTTCAATGCATTTTGAAACATTACTATTAAAACGAACTTTATGAACCTGTAACCTTGATCAAAATAAATCCATCTTCTGAAGGCAATTATAATTTCTCATTAGTAAATATGAATTTCAGCTTGATACTTTTCTATTTTAAAAGTTGCATTTAATGTATGCCTTGGAAGTGGCCAACATCAGTCGAGGTAATGTGAAACTGAACGATGGATTACTTTAGTGGTTCTTGATCGAACAATCGTATTTTATTATTAAGCAATGAGACTGGGATTTGTCCACAGTATACAGTTATCTCGGATACGAAATTATTTACCGAAAACTAAAATGCGATCCTTTTACTTTGACTTTCGAATGTCGATAAATTCTTCACGGCAATGACATTGTTTAATGGGATGGGAATTGGAAATATTTTTTTCGTATCCTAAATATATGTTTTTAAAGGAGTGCAGGTCGGGTGTCACTTGTTTCTTTCCTGGACGGGCATAGGTGAATAAATATAGTGCATTCTTAATATTCATACGTTCCAAATATTTGTTATCGTTAGCCAAACAAGGTACGAGATAGGCGAAATGCAATAGAAATTACAATAAGCAATTACTAAAATTTCTAAGTTTTATGCTGTGCTTGTCGTTTCAAATGAAAAACCCGCTTTGGCCTTTCACCAGCAGATGGCAGCACAACATGGCGACCCGTTGAAAGTGACTTGAACAATCTGCGTTTTAATTGTAGGCAGATTCGAAGTATTCATCTCTTCCTTTCGCCTTACAATGTCATTCATACAATTCAATCGATATATTTCTTGTTTGCCTAAGATATTTCGTGCTTAAAATACCATAATTTTCTTATTAACTACGAATGTTTGGGACGGTGACTCAAAATGACATTATTTTAGGGTTTCAGTTTATACTTTCTCTATAATCTATAGTATAATGGTTATATTAATTTCGAGGAAGCAAGCAAGAACCGATAATTGAGATTAAAGCGTATTTAAACGTAATAACAACTCATTTTGTGCGAGTTTATGTGGCAGTTTTCCTTCTTGTACGAGTTCCATGAAAATTCCCAGTTATTGAAATTCACGTAGAAACTTCTCAACAGTATGTTTGTCTACGAGCCAAATGCAGTAGTTTGAGACTGCTTGAATCTATGAATCGTTTTAATTACCATTCAATCATAAGTGACACACAATATTATTACAATGTAAGACTTAGTAATCGCCCTTGTTCAGCACTAGCAAAGAAAACTATATTAGAATTATTCATGAGAATATTCCTTGGTATTAGCGTTAAGCCTAGGTGGAGTTGAAGCACTTTAGAGTAAAAATGAAATCCTACATAATTATTGATCTTGAAGTTTCTGCTGCGCGGTTGCATTCCGGTAGCTCTCTGAAAACAGTTTTAGACAGTCCCCTGCCGTTCTCTTACTGCCGTAATGTTTAAGTTTAATGTTTAAAAAGTTGACTTAAATGGGAATTGCTCGAATAATGAGAAAAATACAATCCCTTCGTAGTTGTTCTGGCGCGGCAACCAAATGACGTCATACAATCATCTTTCCACCGCTTGCCACTCACTGCCTTCTCGTGTCTCGTCATGTTGGAGGCGGACCATAGATTCGTAACACCGCCACCCATTGAAGGTAAGAAGCTTTGGTTACTGCTGCGAAATATGACATTTTATTTGTAGTAAAATGAGTGGGAGGGAAAGAAAAACAACAGTATTTTCATTTACGCTTGTTTTTAACATTTTCTATTTATTTTCGTACTTGTTGTATCATATAAAGTGTGTTTTGCCAGTTTCTTTTATCGCGCTATGTGTTCGTGGGCTCCGCCAGCGGATTGGTGCAGGTACGGGAGGCACAGGCTACGCTTGAGGTGCAGTTCATTCTTCATTTGAAAAATGTGTTGGATTATCACCCTAACTTTTTGTCACTCCTGAATTCAATTATTTGATGAAGACTTAAAATAACTAGTTCATTCTATATTGATCTCGAATCCCGAACATTTTGATTTTATTAATCTGCCTAACTATTACAAAGCGCAATGTTTAACGTATTGCTACGAACCAAACCTTGTTCAAGACACCGTGATGTTATGCGTACTTTTAGACAACATTTTAATTAACAAAACCTCTTCTAATACAATCCAATTTCTGTTTAGAAGAAGTTGAGAACTTTTTCGTCGTGTTTATGAAAAGTAAAATTGGCGGAGAAGAAACAATGCGAAAGGAAATGTGTTTTCTTGCGGCCGTGTTTTGATGGGACTACGTATTTTGTCGCGCGATTTATGTGCAAATACGATGATTTTATTCGCTCGACTTGCGACTAAGAAGGTAAAATATATTTTCTAAAATTTATTTTTCATGTTAATATGATCAACAGCATTTTAAATTTACTGTGATGAGATGTTATTTTTATCGAAGCAATGAAACTAGATGAAAACTAGTATGGAGTTATTAATCATGTATTCGTATTTTCGAAGAATATGTTAGTAAAAATTGTATTTGATATTTATTTTTCGTTATATAAGGTTACATTAGTTTAAATGTGAATACACTATATTCATGGTAATCATTGCATCTCAGTTTTATTTTTAATCTGGTTAGTTTGCAAAATATTGAAATTTTTAATGTTCTTTTTGAATGGCATGAATGCATATAAAATGGTTGGGCATTCATTTTGTGTTTATAGAATTTTGAATTGCATTTAATTTTTAAATTACTTAAAATATTCAGTGGACTTTAATTTTTATATTTAGACCAATTCCTATGTGTAGCATGTTTCTTCTTCTTAGTTTTCATCCAAATGCTATATATTGATACTTGTACTTTTTGCTGTTCACCAATGCCAAGTTGTTTTCATGTATGTTCAAGTATTTACTACCTTAGTTTAATTCATAATGCAAATGATTGTTGTATTAAAATTATATTGAAATTACAAAATAAAAACTAGCTTAAATTGATATTTGTTGTGATGCAATTTAAACTCTAGTTGCAGAGTTAATGTCATATCAATGGCGGCTCCTGTTTCTTCTCTATCTACTTCATGTGAAGTAGTTTCAAAAATTGGCGAAAGCAATTCTGCTGAAATTGAGGCAGTTGTGACTGCAGGTCATGCAGTTACTGGAACAGGGGCACAACAACAACAATCTGGTACTCGCATGGTTCCATTGCTATACATCCAAGGACCTCCAACATCAATGAGAATGGGTACTAATTCAGTTACAACGCCTTCAGGAGCAATCACTAGTACTGCCGGAGCACAGGTATATTTTTAATCATACTTTAAATAGTAGAACATATCTTAAAGAAAATGTATAACCACACAAATTGTAATATTTTTTATTATTATTTTGAATATTTAATGATTCTGTCTTATTACTCCTTTTTCTTTAGAAAATATCCAACACAGTACGTTCAGGATCAACTTTAGTTGCGGCAGGCACACAGTTCATTCCTGCTCTTAATCCCAAACTCGGTGTCACGCAAGTTATCAACTCAACAACATCTGCAACTACTGCCGTGGTTAATAAATCAACAGCCAACTCTTCAAGTGGGCCCACTCAGCAACATTTTGTAATACAAGCTCCTAGAAATTCTATTTCTGGTACCTCTGGTACACCAACAATTGTTCCAGTATCTGGTAAATCAACAATTGCATATTTAGGCACTATTATTAAACCAGGTGTTGGAAAAACTGGAGAAGGTCAAATTGTTCTTCCAGCTGGACAAATTATGCAAAATTCCAATCAAAAATTGCTTTTGGCTAATGTTCCTTTGCCATTACCTCAATTGACTTCTGCTCCTGTAGCATCTGGAACTAATACATCAGTTTCACAGCAAGCAGCTACCAACAAAGTTACAAGTTTACTTGTCCCAATGACTATTCCTACTCAAAGTGGTACCAACAAAGGAGGAATGATCAATTTGAAAATTGCCAATGGACAAATCCATGCAGAAGGCGGTGGTAAAAGTTCTGTTACTTGTAAGTCTCTTTATACTCTGTGTTTATTTTATGAGTAATTTATTATGTTTTGTTTCAATCAATTTGTTGTTTTTTCTTTTTCAGTTGTGAGAGAAAAACCTTTATCTGCATCTACTTCAGGTCAATTACCACCATTGCAACCTATTGCTAAACTAGCTCCAAAAACTGTTACAAAAAGCAATGGAATACTACTTACAGATGCCACTTTAACACCCATAAATCCAGCAGTTCTTTCTAAACATAAAAAGCCTATTTTAGATTCAGAAACTGAAATTGAGAATGCAAAAAATCACAAGGCTGAAGAGAAAAAGAAGAGGAGTCAGGATCTCAGTAAGTGTCTTCAAGAAGCAGTTGATGCTATATTTTCTTCAAGTCCAAAAAAGGAGGATGATCAGGAAATGCACGATTTACAAGAAGAAGAAAAGATGGATATCAAAGAAGTTAAAGAAGTTCAGGATGCCAAAAACTCTAATGACACTAATTTTGTCACTGACATAAAAGATATTATTGACACTAGAGATCAAAAGTGTGTACATGAGTTTAAAGAAAATAAGGAATTAAGAAATAGAGATATCAGAGACATTGAAGGAAGGAAAAATTCTAGCAAAAGAGATGAAGATGAAGTAACATTAATAAAAGTACTGCCGACAAAAGTCGAGGAGCCTAAAAGGCACATACCAGATGATGATGATGTGAAAATTGAACTCATAAGACCTGATCTCAAACCATCAGAACATATCAATGACATCAATAGTGAAGACTTTGATCCTATGAATGCTTTAGAATGGAAAGATGGCATTGGAACTCTACCTGGTAGTGCATTGAAGGTGAGTAATGAGAATTTGTAAATTAAAAAATAGAGACTTAATGTACTCAATTTTGTATTACTGTTTGCACATTTAATATTGAGTTTTTAAATATAGATTTTGCAAAATAAGATGTTAAACATGTTTGTAACCTTTCAAATTGATTTGTCAATATTTTTGGTTTATTTTAGTTTCGGATGAATGAGTTTGGTATGATGGAGATGGTTGATAATGATAGTGATAGAAAAAATTCTTGTTATGAAACAATTGAAAATACTAAAGATGAAGAGCAATGTGAAGTAGTGAGTTTGGAGGAAGAACCACCTTCTGAGTTAGACGCTGACATAAGGAAAGAAAATAAAGATGATCTAAAGAAAGGTAAACACAAGTTTTAAACATGTATTTCAAATGGGTCATTAATTGATTTTAGAATAACTCTTCAAAATATTTAAGTGGTCATTGAAAATAAAAATATAAAATTTTTTGTAGAAAATAAAGCTTTCTCATGCAAACTCATTGTTAGCCCTTACTGTTGGGGCTAACTCTGGAAACTTACAAAATGTTACAGTGCTCATAATAATGGACTGTTCTAAGGAAAGGAAATTTGAACAGAAAAATATTTGATGAAAAAGTATAGTCATTTATGTCATTTTAAAATCTCTGATTCAGTGGTACTAATGTACAAGATTGAATTAATAACTATGTATTCTTTAGGTTCGGAAAAGGCTTTGGAGAATAATATTAAAATACAGTAGGATAGCGTTAATCCTTTAGTGATGTTAAATTTGAATTGCTTTCTCACCAATTAAGATCCTGTAATATAATTATTGTGTGCCAGGATATTTACCAACTGAGATTTTAGTTTAAATTTTTTCATAAGAATTGGTTATGTCAATAACACATTTTTGAAATATTCTTTCCTTAATTATTGATTTATTGTCTTTATTGACAAGCTAATAAAGTTTCAATACTTACTCTTATTTTTGATTGGAGATATTTTAATCTTATTTCATCACTGTATATTGTAGTGATCTTTTTTACAGTCGACTTTCGACAAGTAATACAAATCTCAAAATCAGCTGATTTTATTTGTTAATTCAATAGGAAGAAAAATGATTATTAAAGTTCAATGATAAAGGCTTTCATCCAATTGCATTGCTTATAAACTTGGGGAGTTCACTTAAAGAGGTTTTGCATATTTAAACAGTCATTAATCTGAACATCTTTTTTTTCTTCCTATTTTCCTTCATTTCTTGCTAAACGTAGATGATTCCCCAGTTCCTTTTGCAGTGCTGAGTAAAGCCAAGGTATTCAAACTGCCTAAATCTTGGACTCAAAAAGATAGTATGATATGGTACTAAAGAAGTCAATTACTGAGAAAAAGAAATTAAGGAAGTGTTTTATGAATGCATTGCAGATAAAGTCCCAGAAGAAAAACAACTTCGAAAACCAGGCACATCTGATGACATTTACTATTGTGAAGGCTGTGGTTGTTATGGTTTATCATCAGAATTCATTAACACTCGATTCTGTAGCTCTACTTGTATTTCCACCTTCACACGCAAGAAAGCAGCTCAGACTAAGCGTGAGCGTGAACTACTTCAATTACGGCTAAGACGCCGCAAAAAACGACTTATACAGTTACTTCAACTACAAAAGGCTCAGCAGGAACGAGATGATAATCCAGAGAAGAAAGAAGAGTCTCCACCCTCGCCTCCCCCTCCACCTCCACCACCTCCCCCACCACCTCCACCTCCTGTATTACCCCTACCCCTTGCACCTCCAGTAGTCAGTTCCACCACTCCTTGCCCAGAAGATGATAATTCATCCAGTGATGGATCTCAGGTATACATTATTTGATTTCTTTTTGTCAGTTGCACTGTACATTGAAGTAATGACTAAATCATAATGATTTGTGATTTTGATGGTCCTTTGATTAGTTTTGGAAAGAATAGTATATCATTTAATTTTAGCTATTCTACATCAATCATTATATCAAAAAATTCTGTATTTCTAGCTGTGCATTTTGCAAACTCGTTTGCCATGGCAGATGGGTAAAAGTGGCTTTTCATGGCCTAAATACTTAGAACACTGTAAAGCTAAAGCAGCTCCAGTGAAATTATTCAAAGACCCCTTCCCTTATACAAAAAATGGCTTCCGTGTGGGTATGAAACTGGAAGGAGTTGATCCAGAACATCCTTCATATTTCTGCGTTCTCACAGTATCAGATGTTCAAGGTATGCTGTTACATACAAAAATGTGGGGAATAAATTGATGTGTGTATGAAAATTTGATTACATGTCATTTTTTTAGGGTACCGTATCAGGTTACATTTTGATGGATATTCAGAAAGTCATGACTTTTGGGTTAATGCAGACTCAATGGACATATTCCCTCCTGGTTGGTGTGAAAAGAATAACCATACCCTACATCCTCCAAGAGGTCATACAACAGGGAACTTCAACTGGGCAAATTACCTCAAGCAAAGTAAAGCACAAGCTGCACCTAGACATCTTTTCATGAATAAAACTGGAAATGTTAGTGTTTCAGTTTTTTTGTTTCTATAAAGTTCTTTCTAGAATTTGTCTGTGTTATTTTTGTATTTTCTTCAAATTTTAGTCTGATAAAAAATAAATTTGTTTTTAAAAAGAATTGAATTTTTATTTCAGGCTGTTTGTCCTCATGGTTTCCGATTAGGAATGAAATTAGAAGCTGTTGATCGTAAAAATTCTTCTTTGGTTTGTGTTGCTTCAGTTTCTGATCTAATGGATAATAGAATTCTGGTTCATTTTGATAGTTGGGATGATATTTATGACTATTGGGCAGATCCTACATCTCCTTTCATTCATCCTGTTGGATGGTGTGAAGAACATGGTCATGCCTTGACTCCTCCTAACAGTAAGTATCATAGCGTTGATTTCACATACAAAATATATTCTTTGCATGCAATTTTTAAATTTTGACAAAATGTGGAATTTAAAAAAAAATCATTAGGAACTTCTTTGCAGAATATTTCTATCACCTAAATTTAACAAATAGTAAACTGTGTAATTTCTGTAACGAATTACTATACTTCAATTAATCAAGCTGTACTGTTTGGGAATGCTTAAATGTATGAGAGGTATTCCTTAAAATTGCATGTATGGTTTTCCACTATTGTTTTTAGAAACATAAATGACATTAAATATAATTGTGCCTGAGCCAAGATGTGAAAAAACAAACAAAATATTTGTGTGTAGATTACAAGGGCCAGCCATTTTCCTGGGATAGTTACTTGAAAGAAACAAAGTCATCTGCTGCTCCAGCCCGAGCGTTTAAGCAAAGACCACCATGTGGTTTTCGGAGGGGCATGAAACTAGAATGTGTGGACAAATGGGTACCAATGCTGATAAGAGTTTGTTCCGTTGTGGAAGTAATTGATCACCAGATTAAAGTCCATTTTGATGGATGGCCAGAACAGTATAGCTATTGGCTTGATGATACATCTCCTGATATTCACCCTATGGGTTGGTGTCAGAAAACTGGCCATCCTCTTGAACCACCTCTCAGTAAGTTTGATTTAATTTCTTGTTTCAAGTGATTTGTACTAGGATTTTAGCCATAGATTTTTTTAATTAATTTATGTGTTTATTTATTATTTGTATTAGCTTGGGATGAGTCTACAAATAATGGTGAATGTCCTACACCTGGCTGCAGAGGCTTAGGAAATGTCAGAGGGCCCAAATTTATGACACACAATACAGTAGCCAATTGCCCATATGCTATACAGAATCTTCACAGAGAGAGTGTTATTCCTGATAGGCTTATTGAGAAAGGAGAGATAACTGAACGTAAAGAGAATGTGTGCAAAGAAATTGAGAAAAAAGAAAAAGATGATTGTCCTGTGCAGGAGAGTAAGCCAGTTGGTTTGGTTGTAAGGTAAGCTGAGTATTTAATTTTATATTATTTTTTACATTTGTTTGGTTGAATGGAACTCTTCAAACTGCAATATGTTTCACTAATTCTAGGAGACCTGTTGGGCGACCTCCAAAGGTTCGCCGTGTGGGTGAAACATCTGAAGAAAGCAAAGCACAAGCTCAGGATCCTGATTGGAGAATTGATGATGATGATAATTATGAAAAAAGGAGAAAGAAAAGGTATTATTTTTCCGTTGTTACAGACTTACACTCCAGATGTTCTCGGTTTGTATATTTTAATTATGTTTTTGATTGCAGACGAAATCTATCAGGTGAACGAAGTATTTCTCCTTCTAGCACTCAAGTTTCAAATGCTTCGACTACTCCTCCAGCAGTTCCGGCAGGTCCAGATTTAGAACAACTGCAGCAAGAGCTCCGTCAGTCAGTTATTCAACCAGGTTATGAACCTAATCCTAACAACCTTATGCCATACCTCTGGACAAAACATTCCCAGTACCTGAATTCCTTCATTGTCCAGCATAAAGGTGCAGATGCATCTCAATGGACGCAGGATGATGTAGTACAATTTGTTACATCTATACCAGGTTGTGAAAACAAGGCAAAAGTCTTTAGTGAGCAGGTAAAATACATTGTAGAACTTTTTCTTGATGTTTGACAATGGTTTTTAAAAAATATTCATGTTTCTTTTGTTTCTTACAGCAAATTGATGGAGAAGCGCTTTTAATGATGGCTCAAGAGGATCTTGTTAATGTGATAGGCATGAAACTTGGTCCAGCAATAAAACTGTATAACAGTATTGTACTACTCCGTCAGAAAGTAATTGGAGCAGCAAGTTGAGAAAAATGAGTGAGCTTTTATATATGGACATTATGTAGACCTGATCAACCTAAAACCATGTGTGACTATTAAGCGATTTATTTCAAGAACTGTCCTTCGTGAAATTTTTGTCAGTTTAATAATGACTCAATCATTGAATTATTTTAAAAATTGTGATCAGTTATTTGCAAGATTTTGTAAAAATACCTTTCATAACTACCTGAAAAGGTGGGAAAGACCATTTGTTTCTGTCCGATCTCCGATTCTATGTAAAAGGAGATTAATGTTGTAAATATATGTATACATATAAATATGCTTTCACTTGTATATTAGTTTAAGTGTTTTCAGCCATTGTGGATCGATGTTTAGTATTTTTTTCAACTCTAATGTATGATGGCTGCATTAAATTTGGGATTTTGTTATTATGCCTCGTATTTTATTAACCCTTGATCCTAGATACGAAAGTTATTTTGCAAACGCTTTTACGTTAACGAAGCAACTAGTCCACAGCAACAGTATCAAGCGAGATGCTGCGCCATTCAGCGCAATCTTGATACAGGCGGCAATAAGGTGTGGCGGGGGTGCCAATACAAGAAATTGAAATCCAAGTGAAGACCGAAATAATAATTTTGGAGAAGTACGGAAATTTGTTATGAGTAATAAGAATTTATGATAATGAATTAATAACGGTATTTGAAAAAAATTGTGGGAATTTATGTAATAATTTGATTCACAATACTCCGTAACAAAACTCGAAGTGATAATTTCGCAATGCCTGTTGATTACTTTTGATTTCTAATAAGAATATAATTTTCTTATATTGATACCTCAAAATTCAGTTACGTAAATGTTTTGTAACCTTGTGGCAAAATACAATTCTTTTTGTTTATCCGCAAAACGACATCCTGGTTGGTCATATGATCAGCCTCTCGTTCGCGTCATTTCCTAGTGTCTGATTCATACCGTTTGGTGTTATATACCTGTTCGTATACAAAGACATCATCGGCATCATTTTCTTTCGCTTTAGGGAAGCACAGAGTGACGTGCCTGAATTTGTTGGTGTTAAATTGCGTTTATTGCAAGTCAATTTTGTTTATTTCGGCGTTTCTGTTCCGAAGTGAGTATACTTACATCACGAATAGCGTGTTGAGGTAATTTCAGTTGACTGGATCCGATAATCTAAGTTAACATTTATTAATGACGTTTGTGACAGTGCATAATGAAGTAACTTACTTGAGTATTAGATATATTTACAATTGTATATATTTATCGTAAATTCTATCTGTTCGCCAGAGAGGTACGTAACTTCTTCAATCCCTTTCAGAATTAAGATGTCGCTGTATCCCTCATTAGAAGATATGAAGGTTGATCAGATGGCCCGGGTACGTAGTTTCATCTGAATTGAAGATACTATTTGACGTTAGAAAAACCTTCAAGTAAATTTTTTAAACAGATGTCAGAAACTTACGAGCAAATATTGTAATTGCAGGCCCAAGTGCAGGCAGAAGCTGACTATATGTCTCAACAAATGCCAGCTGCTGCACCTTTGCCATACCCAGTGAACCCTTCTGCTCCTTCCATGGGACCAGGTGTTGGTAGTGGCTTATACCCAGCTCTCAGTGAATTCATGGGGCTTGAACTGTCAGAAGCTGCAATTGCTGCTAACATGCCTGAATATGCTGTGGCTGTACCCACTTCAGTATGTTCTAACAAAAATTTGCCTACTTTGCAATGAAATCAGTTCTTGAATTTAGTTTTTGTTTGTTACACATTTTCTATTTGCAGCAGGACCTAGTCACTGCAAGTGGGCCTTTGATGGGGATGGTAGCACCACTTTCTGGTCAATCATTGGGTCTTCAGCGAGCTCAGGTGACTCACGGCGTCAGAGAGGTAGGTTTAAATCTATTTTTTCTTTGTAAGAAATTTTGTTCCTGCTGTATATCTGAAATGTGTGCTTATTTTCTAATATCTTATTATTTATTATGGATTGTAATTTTACCACAGTTGACACTCTGCAAAGATGGTTCTGGGAAAGTTGGCTTAAGAGTGCGAGATGTCAGCAATGGAATTTTTGTCTGTCTTGTTATGAAAGATTCCCCAGCTGCAATTGCTGGCTTAAGATTTGGAGATCAAATTCTCCAAGTTAATGGCATCACAGTGGCAGGATTTTCAGCTGATAAAGTACATGATTTATTTCGGAAGAGTCCTGTAAATGGAATATCTGTTGTGGTGAGGGACAGGTGAGTTCAACTCTCTTAGAGAGAACTAACGTACTTCTTTACTTTATCAATTGAATCTTGCTAAATTGCATAAATCATTGTGTTTTTGGACAAGATAAATGTATGATGAAGAAGTAGAAGGAAGGTAATATAAATAAGTCTGTATGTTTCATAATTAATTTTATTTCAATTAAGTTTAAAATTCTAGTTGAAATAATTGTGTAGAACATGTATGTCATCACAATTAACATTGTAGAGGAAAGAGGTTTCTCCCCTTTTGTTTGTGTTTCTTTTAAAATCATAAAATTATTAATTGTAGTCACAATAATTTGAAAACTTAAATGAAAACGTATGTAGAGTGTGTTAAAATGTGTTGTCTAACTATTCCTAGCAAACTAATTTGGGAGGTCCACAACAACCTATAAAAACTTCAATGAATTTGTGAATAACTGTGCAATAATTGAGCTAATGCCATTATATAAATATTCATTATTTGGTCCCTTTATTAGAAATCCCATCTTCATATTTTTAATTTCTTCTTGAATTTTTCTTAAAACTGCATGACTCTGACTAAATCTCTTATTACTCTCTAACATTGGCACAAAGTGGAATAGATTCTTTGGGTACTCCCACCCCCTCACACAAACACAGTCTTGGTTGTGTTGGATTTTCTAACTTCCATCCGCCAAAATGTGATGTTGGTTTTGAAAAGAGAACAGAGGACGGAACTAGTTAGATTTTTACACTGCTGTCAAGACACTATATTTTCAATATTGATGACTAAGAAATATTGTTACTTCCTTACTTCCTTTCCATCAGTCAGAGGTGTCAACGGTGGTGTAGCAGAAATAAATAAATGAAATACATTCTTTTTTACTTAGTGTGGGGAAAATATTTTACATTATCTCCGTTTATGAATAGATTTGTATTTGAAAAAAGATCAGAGGAATGCAAATAATTAATTTAAACAAAAATATGCATTTTTCTTTTTAGAAAATAAATTTTGAACAGCATTTAAAAGTTAAAAATCATGAAAGAAGGAGTACAAAGAAAAAATCACTTATGCTTGCTCAGTATGTAGCATTTATATTGAAACGTGTGAATCTATCACTTTTTGCATAATCTCCATGAAGTATGAGCAATTTTTAAACCAGTATAACCTTAAAAACTGCTTCAAATTTTTTTTTAAAGCTGATAAAAGAAAGTATTTCTCGTTTCATGTTTGGGATGCCTTCAGAAGAAATATGTGACATTTTTCCCTCTTCTCCTCCTTCCCTCTTTTTCCCCCTTTTTTTTCTTTCTTTCTCCACCTTTCTTGTAGCCCTTGTCTTCAATACTCGTAAATTCATTAGTTGTTTTGTGCCAGTATCACTAAGATTTAAAAAGAAAATGATCGTAAATGTAGGAATGGCATTGTCATCGCACACAGGTTGAATGAAAAAAATCTTCAAATAATTCAGAAAAAGAGAAATGATTGCGTATAAAAGACATTTTTTGTGTTCAGGAGAGCATTTCAGACTCCAGATGGTAATGGTGTGGTCAAATATTCTTAGTTTTTTAGACACTTATCTTGTGGATTTTCGAAATAATAAGAGGGGTTTTAAAAGACATCAACTGCAAATTTCACTCCTTTCATCTGAAAATTTATTCTTCTTTGGTATGAAGCGATCCCTTTACAAACTATACTTATTATCATGCATCAGAGGAATTAAGTTGAAATGAATTTACATTCCAAACTTGATGTATGTAGTACAGAGTTCAAGAGACCGGTCAAAAGGAGTTAACACTTGTGATTTTGGGAGATCATCACTAAAATACTGTGCCAATGTTTTTACACACATTGGAAATATTGTTGAAGTTTTGTGAAAGACTAGAGGAAATGCCTGCAAAATGTAGTCATGAACCATGCACGAGGGTACGAAGCAGGTGTTGATCAAACGTATGTATGTAGTATTCTACAAAATGTGCTGCAAAACTGTAGCCTGTGCAAGTCATTAGTTGTAGACCTACAACTATACATATTTATACTGTTCATGACTTATAAGGTCAGAAATGTAAATACAATGAAATCCTTGAACAAGAACTATTGCTATATGAAACATGACATTGTGAAACAAATATATATGTAAAATTGTTCAAATCAATTTAGCAAATTGCATGATAGTATGGGAAGTGCATTCCAAGAAAATATATTTTGAGATCACATGTGAAACTAGAATTATTTAAAATTAAATGTTTATAACATTTTCTATTATTATTATTATTATTATAACTACTGTTACTGTATTAAAATTTACTTTTCAGCATTATATTTTCCCCTTTTACTTGCAGATTCCGTTCGACATATTTTTTTAACTTTGATTTCGCAGGAAAGTAATGACGATAATTGTTTAAAATATATTTAAATTGTGGCATAATACTTCAATTATACATTAAATTATTCTTTTTAATAACGTTGTAGTGATGTAGATGTATATTTTTCCAATATTTTCTTTGAAGTAGTAACATTGAAGGCTCTGAGTTGAAACAACTCCACTGGGCATTCTAGGGGTTATTGATATTTCCGATGTCAAGTAATGCCAATGCTGAAACCTTGGCATAACTTGACTTCGGAAATATCAATAACCTCAGATATTATTATTTCCTCAGATACAGCAAAGGATATTCAAAAAATTTGTGCTTGTCCTATTTTTGGCAAACACTCTGTATTCTCAAACATAGCAAATGAAAAATTAATATTGCAAGCATATAATTTTGATGATTGTTCTTTAAAATCAGTTCTTAAAATAATTAAAATGAAATCACTTTTGCTGGCTCATGTAGTTTTGTAATATTGTGTGGTCATTACAAATAATGTGAGAAAGTATATGCTGTTGTAGCTCCCCGACTTTGTGTTTTTAGCTTGCTGTACTAACTTACTTTGTTATGCTTGAGAACATGATTCGTTTCCTTTGGTTGATTGTCTTACATTTGTTTTTGTAATAGAGACAGATCTTAATTGTCCTATTTAAATAAAGAGAATCCTCAAGGTGGGAACCAGGAAGGAGAGGGGGACACTATCATCCAATCAGGAGCTTTAATATCAATCATTTAAGTGCTGCTAATGGGATAACTGCATCACAGCTGATATCACACAAAATCACTACATTTAAATTGAACAATAAGGATCCTCATGTGAGTTATTTCAAGTTTTGGTGTCAGGTACTGGGTTTTGGAATCATAATAGTGTTAGCTTAGCTTCAATTCTATGAATTTTTATTTAGTTTCCTGTGTCATGCTCTTTCTGAAATGTTTTGATTTAATAAACTCTATTGTATTTCAAAATTTTAAGTTGCAAGTATTGAGAATTTTGAAATGTCATTAAATAAATATCGAGATGTTGAAACTACATATCAGTATTTGAAAACATTGTAGTTGTAGTATTTGCCCTTCAATGATTATTTTCACCATCACCTTGGTTGCTTTTCTTAGCAGGCCTCTGTTTTAGATTTCTTCATGGAGATTTTCATATCAAATGCCTTTCCAGTTGGAATTAATTCATAATCAGCAATGTGCAGTTCATTTCGTAATGACCAGTAGGGAATAATTATGTGTTTGCTGTGAGTAGTAGAGGAAGTGACGTGTGTAATATACTACTATCATGTAATACACAATGCAGAGATGATAACTGTTACAGGTAGTTTATAAATTATTATGGAGTATGCCTAACTGGTTCTGCATCACAGTCTACTTTATCCTACATTTAAGATACAGAAAGTGGGAAAACTAGGAAAACAGACTAAGGCTATCAGATTTAGGCAATGGACGACCTTTATGTATTGAAATTTAAATTTGTGTGCTTCATGTGAATTTCAATTTTGTTTCTAGGCCGTTTGAACGCACTGTTACTCTTCATAAGGATAGCATGGGTCACATTGGATTCCATTTTAAAAATGGGAAGATTACAGGACTAGTCAAAGATCTGTCAGCTGCTCGTAATGGTCTACTTACTGACCATCATTTACTGGAGGTTAATGGTCAAAATGTAGTTGGATTGAAGGATAAAGAAATTTCTGCTTTAATTGACCAAGGTGGAAACATCATAACAGTAACAATCATACCATCTTTTGTGTATGATCATATCGTTAAGAAGTGAGTACATTCCTTTACGTGTTGCACATTCAGTTTAGTCAATTGACTTGTATTATTTGAATGTAATGTCTAAGGTGTTTAGAAAAATTTGATGATATTAATACATTTGCTAATTATTTTACAGGATGGCATCGTCCTTAATAAAAGGAACTATGGATCACTCAATTCCAGAAATATAAATACAAGCAATGTATCATTCCAGCTCTTTTATCTATCTATTAATTTTGTTAATCAGTTTGTCTCTATAAAGCATTTTGTGTGCTATTATTTTATCATTATATTGCATTGATATCCTACTGTGTATTTGTCAGTGCACTGGTGCTCTATGAATTTGTTTTGTGAAGAGATTTGGAAGGTCTGATTATGTGTGGATGAAATTGAGGATTAAAACAATTGTCTTTTATTTTGTTGATTTATTGGCTGTGCTGTAATATATTATATAACATAATGTTAGCATTTGATTTGTTTAATAATATTTAAGGTCATTAATGGGTACTCTATAATTAAGTTAGAATTGTAGCATTTCAAGAACATATTAATTATCTGCTAAGATGATTTGAGTGCTACTGTTGAGGGGATTTGGTACTAGTATTATACATTAAATTCCCTTTTTGTGATTTGCCCATAATTTCTTAAACATGAGATCTGAACATACTAAAGTTCTATTAGGATGAGTAGTTGGTGTATTGCAATATATTTTATAAATGCTGTTATTGACCAACTAGCTGTAGCTAATTCAAGAAAATTTATAGGGATGAGCTCCCTCATTTTTTTTAAAAATTTTTGTTTGGATTTATGTTTGTACATTTCTGAGCATTGTTCCATTACACAAAAGGGATGTTAAAATTGTGACAGAATATGTGCAGTATTTCAACTTGCTCTTGCAGAGGAATGCCATATCATACAGGGTGGAAATTTTTTGTGTGCCATTATTTTAGTCAAACCATGTATTAATCCTGCATTTAAATGTTTGATATTTAGTTGTACTTAAATTGTCTAAGACCTGTAATCCCTTAAGCTTAAGATGTTTCTACTAATGTTCTAGTTGGCCTACATACTCTTTATGTGGCTGTATTTGTATTTCTTATGCAATAAAATATGTATTTTGTTAAATGATTATATTCTTTTTCTTGTATTGGGAAAGAGGAAGGTAACATTCACTGAAAGTATTCATCATCATTATGAAATGAATGGAAATTGGGTTCTATAACCTGTTTCGATTAGTTTATTACAGTATTCTTGGTAGAGTTTTGGTCTTCCAAGTGTTCCTGCTGTTGCTTTAGTGCTCTCCCTCTAACTCTGATCCCTGTTGGTTTGTTCCAGATTAATTTTGGAAATCTGTTGTTGATTCTCTTAAACTATATCTCTTCTACTAAACATTTGGTTTTCAATTTCTTTCTAATGTCTTTATTTCTTAGTCTGTCTCTTCTTGTGATTCCCATGAGGTGTCATAGATATCTCATGTGTGCTGCCTGTAGTTTTTAATTGTCTCTCTCTCTCTCTTTCATTAACCATGTTTCAGAGCCATACAGATTTAGCAGCTGTATTGTGGAGCTTGTTTTCTTTCTGGGTCCAGTCTCTACCAAAGTGTCTCTGAATCATTCCACATATTCTATTGTAGTTATTAAATTTTCTGTGTCTTCCTGAGTTTGTGTACACTTATGATATTTCCAAAGTATGAAAATGTATTTATTAATTTTACATTTATTACTATTTTGGCTCTATTATTTCTTGCCTTGTATTGCCATAACTTTTGTTTTATGAATTGCTATCTACATGGAATATTCTTGGGCCACTTTTGTCATTTCAAACACTGCTCTTTGTAAATTATCTTCAGAATCCATTACGACAGTTTGGTCTACAGCATACAAGATAGATACTATCTTCTTGACTGTTGTGAACTGTATTTGTTGTCTTTCTCCAGTTTATCACTAAGTGATTAATATATATGTTGAAGAGGATGGGTGATAATCCACATCCTTGCTTAAGCTGCTGCTGTTATTGCTGTAGACTTTTTTCCCGTCTTATCAGTATTTTAATTCTTGAGTTCTTATGGGAATTGCATTGCATTGAGTAACTTATTTGGAACTTTCTCTTCTTCTAGTATTTCCCAGAGTTTCTGTTAAGTTAACTTTGTCGTTAGCTTTTTCATATGCAATAAAAATTATAAAAATTGAGAGATTCCTTTTGCTTAAAACTGTCTATGCAGGTTAATGAATATTTAGTAACTTTTCAACCTGTGAAACCAAATGGTGCAATTCTTTTTTTCAGTTTTAATCATTACTCATCAATTTAAGTGGTCAGGAAACTAGGAAATTTTGAAATTCTAAAGAGGGGGCAAGAATTTTTTTTTTTTAATTGAGGAACGTAATAGAAACAGAAAACTAAATTTGTTTTTACAACTTGCATACAATTCTAGTCTGTATATCATTCTCCAAATTTTGCATGATTATGTTTTTCTATAATAGAATAGCTTAATCATGAAAAGTCTAATGTTAGTTAATTTGGGGAAATTGACATGAAATCATTTACCCATTTATTTATTTGAAAAGTGTCAAACGGAGATACAGGATGTTGAAGTTATGTTCTGGCATAACTGTGAAACAAGTTATCTACAATGTTTTAACAAATTTAAGTTGTATTAATGATAATGTTTCTTTCATATTGGTGAAATCTACCATTACAATGATAGATGGGGCAGTAGCAGATTCTGATAAATTAAAACTAGTGGCGCTACAACAGCTTGTACTTTTTGGCCTTATTTGTAAAGGTTACATGAAAATAATATACTAATTAAACATACTTTTGAGCAATTTCTGAACAATTACAAGATTACACCAAAATAACATTTGTCATGATATTCAATGCATTTGGCTCTAGCCATTCAAAAATTGTAAAGAAAAAATGTGGATGTATATTTGGGGAAAATAGATTTTAAAAGTTGCCTCTTTTTCACACAAAATTATGTGAAAAATTATTTAAGTTTTGAAAAAATTCTACACAATCTTATTTACGTATCTAACTTGGAACTAGTGGTGCTACAGAATTGCACAGTTTCCTGTAATAGTTTCCTATTTCCTTTGGTCTTGGCTAGCTATTCAGGCTTGCCACATACTCTTGGTAGCTGCCATGTGTCACCGTCCAAAGTACATATTTTTCAGTTTTGTAATTGTAGTAATTCTTAAATATTGTTTAAAGAATATTTAAAGACAGAAAAACGTCGTTATAAATGCAATTTTCATTGGAAAAGTTTGATTTTTTTAGCGTTTTCCTACAACTACGAATTTGAAGACAGATTTTCTCTTCACAAAAAAATTCTTTTTCATAATTAGTTCTTTCATTTAAGTCATGTACATTTTTTTGATAATTTTAATAGTTTTGGGGCAAAATTACGTTCAATATTTACAATTTTGAAAATTACAAAAGCAAGATTTTTTCAAAAAATGCTACAATTTTTTTCTTTAAACCTTTGGGTTGGATAGTTCTAAATGCACTCTATAAGACAACAAAACGCCATATTGCTCGCGGCATTTTTACTTAGTGAACATGCGCGTAACTGCTTGTGGTCTTCATTTAGAATAATTACTGGCTTTGTCTCTCGTCCCCTTTGGCGCATGACTAGCATTGAGACCTAACAAAGCGGAAGATTAGGATTCGAGCCTGGACCGTGCTTGGGGACCTGCGCCCAGCCCGTCCCCGTCTGCTCTACTTTGGGAGGTCCCCGTGTACACCATGTACGGGGACAATTTGCTGAATTTGATTAAAATAACGGCCAAACATTCTCCAAAAAGCCCCCCCCCCCCCGATGGAGCCTCATGCTTTTGCTTTTCGAAGAAGATTAAGGTGCACAAATTCACGGCGGATTCCCTCGCCGTGGGATTCCCGGTTGAACGACCCTGTAACGAAACTTACAAGTTTGTAAATACTTATAAATTATGAGATTAGTCCGGGAACATCGTAACGAAACTTAGAACTTATTATGACCATTGATTAAACATGCGAAATCTCATTTATTCAAAGCTTCATTCTAAGTGCACTAGATTCAAGAGTAGTAAACGTCAACGCATTATTGAGAAACGCATTCTCCCATATTTACATTCATGTTCATTTTCTCACTACCGAACGGGTTGGTTCCACAAAAACCACAATTGCAGGACCAACAGCAGCTTCTCAAAAATACAAAATATTATTTCATCATCATTTAACCAGCAGAGTAGTCAGTCTTCAAACAGGCTCCATCTAGAACACACTCTATCAACAGACTCCAACATAAATAATGAAACTACGCTACGTTGTGTGACGTAGAAATGTAGAAAACCATGCTGAAGTACTGTGCCATGCCACGATAGCCGAGGAAAATATACCAAACATTTTAACCTAATTCAAATCAAATGTCCAATTCTGCCAAAAATGAAGCAATATATACAATATATTTCATGGGACAGGTTTGTGCGACACACCTGCAGATGTATTTTTCAATTCGAAATTTGCGAAATGGTTGCGTTGGACCACGGTGCAGATATATTTATTACACCATAGTAGTATGCTGCTTTGAAGTACACAAAATACATTCACATCATAAATTGCCTAGTAACGTTTACCTTCGGAACTACATGCGTAGTGCACTTATTAATTATTATATTCATACACCTCCCCTTCAGTATAATGTAATTTCGCTGCTAATCTGCTACTTTATGTCCACTAGTTGAGAAGGTATCGCAAAATCTGAGAAGCAACATAAGCAGAGACTTCAAAACCCGTGCGTAGTAATATGAAAGATTTATGAGATGAGCATATAAACTCGAAACATTCTTGGTTTGGGTACATACTTTTCAGAGAATGTCTACAATTACAAATATTTGCAGTATTTTTTGAAGTTACTGACTTTACCTGTAATTTACGTATGTTTTGAAAGATGCGTCCTATACATACGAAGATTGCCTTTTATGTTAACCCTGGTGTTGCAATCTGGCAACTGACAGCTCTATCGTGAAGTTGGATGTTTTGAGGTTATACGTACTCAGAACGTTTTGACATACAAGCGCTATTTGTGTTGTTTACAGTACTTAAAAGATTCATCTTGGCCCAAAAATGGAATTAAATTGTGACCATTTACGTGCGATTATTTTTTACAACTTTCGACGTGGATTAACTCAGCAACGGTGCATAGATGAACTTAATTCAATTTTGGGCTATGAAGCTCCATCAAGAACCAGTGTTTATTGATGGTATGGTGAATTCAATCTTGGTTGTAGTTCACTCCAAGACGAATTTCGCGAAGGTCGTCCAAAAATCAGTTGTTCCAAAAACCATTGATGCTGTGCGTGAACTGATATTGAAATTCGCCATGTGACCTATCGTGAGATTGAGACAACCTTAGGCATTAGTGGGACCAGCATACATTCAATATTGCATGAACATTTGACTGCCAAAAAAATTTGTTCGCGTTGGATCCCACACAATTTGTCAATCGCTCAAAAAGATGCTTGTGTCCATTGGTTCAAAGGAATGCTCAAAAAATACGATCGAATTGCATCGAAACACGTCTATGACATCGTGACAAGTGATGAATCGTGGATTTACGCGTATGAGCCCGAAAGTAAACAGCACTCGACTGTATGGGTGTTTCAAGATTAGCAGAATACAACAAAAGTTGTTCGCGCACGAAGCACTTCCAAACAGATGGTTGCCTGTTTTTTCGAAAAAACTGGACATGTTGCAACCGTACTACTAGAACAACGCAGAACAGTCAATTCTGAGTGGTACACAATTATTTGTTTGCCAGCTGTCTCCCAAGAAATCAGGAAAACCAAGCGCCGAAAACGGATAACTCTTTACCACGACAATGCGAGCTCTCATACATCGTCTCAAACAACTGCATTTTTGAGCACCAAAAACATCGATTTGATCATACGAGTCATCCGCCGTATAGTCCTGACTTGGCACCGAATGACTTCTTTTTATTCTCGTACGTAAAAAGCAAACTGAGAGGTCAACGTTTTTTGACACCTGAAGAAGCGGTTCCTGCATTCGAAATGCGTTTTGGAGATACCTCACAGTGGCAAAAGTGCTTCGACATTTGGCTCAAAACGCATGTAAAAGTGTATAATCTTCATGGAGAATATTTTGAAAAACAATAAAGCGATTTTCAATATTTATATATTTGTTTTGGTTCTCTAATCCTGAAATATAAAAGGCAACCCTCGTAGACGACTATATATATATATATATATATATATATATATATATATATATATATATATATATATATATAATGCCAAAATGAGGGAATTCCGCTAATTTGGCGTAAAAAAGACGTCGACTTTCGGGGGTAATGCGTTTTGCAAGATAAGAACGGTTCTGTTTGCTGATGACATAAATGTTCTTCGCAAAAAAGAAACACTAAATAGTACGATTTTAGAAGTTTCAAATTGGTTTTGTAATAACAAATTAATAGTTAATGAAGGAAAAACAGTTTCAATGCCTTTTTGCATCTCAAATCAGCAATCGCATGTTCCATTGAAAATGAATAATACGCAATTTGCTGATGTTGAGCTAACAAAAGTTCTAGCTCTCAATTCAGTCAAACCTCAAATGGAATGTACATATAACAAAATTAAACACTAAATTAAGTGCATAATGTTATGCGTTCAGAATTCTATCAAATTTCGTCAGCTTTCATGCAGCTCGTTGCGTGTACTATGCAAATGTACCTTCCCGCCTGAGATATGGTATAAAATTCTGGGGAAACTCATCATGTAGTATTCCGACCTTTAGATTGCAAAAGAAAATTATTCGAATAATGAAAAAGTGCAATCGGCGTTACCCATGCAAGCCTTTCATCATTGAGCTTGGAATCTTAGCACTGCATTGCCTATATATTTTTCGAATCTGTAATATTTGTCAAAAGTGACTTACTTAACGATGGGAACATATTTTCATGCAATACCGATATTTATAATTACAACACAGGTTGTAAAAATCACGTTCATCAGGTGTCAGTATCAACATCTCACTATCAGATATCCACATGCAACGTGCGTTACTTTACAACGCACTGCCAGATGACATTAAACAATCGTTTACGTAAGTTCACAAATTTCATTTAAAAGTGAAATATTTTCTGCTGCATAACTGTTTCTATACAGTAATAACTGAGACTACTGATTATCAAAAAGAAAAATAATATTTATTTTAACCAAACTCTGATATTTAATGAATTAGTTTACATTTGTATTCTATACATTTTTTTAAAGACTTAATAATGTTTGTAATAATAATAATAATAATAATAATAATAATAATAATAATAATAATAATAAAAATAATAAACTTTTAAACTTACTTATTTTATGTAAGTTTATAATTGCTTATAAACTTACATAAAGCATCAAGCAAAGTCAGTCTAGAAATTAACTAAAATTACAGTATGTTAATTTCATTAACTTTCAGAAATAATATAATAAATTTTCATTATCTTTCTAAATAACATAGTAAAAATATACCTAATTGATTAATATTGATAATAATATCACATTAATTTAATTTATAACTAATTACTTTCGATTACATAACTTACAGTAATAATGCAAACTGAATGAATGAATTACTTGAATAATAATGCAATTGCTCATAATAAACATTTAGGTAAATAACATTTTAAACTACACAAAGCCTCATTAACACATAACAAATTACATTAACAATAAACTAGAAGATTATGATAGTGGCAAATTAATAACCCCCACTCTACCCGCATTGCTTCAATACTTCATTCCAGAAAAGTTGTGCGAGCAATATCCGTAATATCTCCAGAATATCTCCCACCAGCGGGGCCATCTTCAATACCCATTTACAGATGGCCTCGCACAAGCTTTGTAACAGTGACGTCACTTTGGTGACGTTCAAGCTCCCGATTGGATGAAACTGTCAATTGCTGAAACCTTAAAGGGCATTTACCTGGGGTATAGTTGAAAAAATCGTAGTATTAACACAGAAATCTCCCGACTGGTCTCCCGGCATGTGTGGTACTGTAGTACATGTTGGTGTAAGGGGTGAGGAGAGGTCAAGGAAGAGGGAGGAAAGGTCGCGCGCGATCCGTGGCCCGTTTGTTAGGATACTGCTCCGGCAAACGCCTAGCATTGATCGAAGAAACCTCGGAAAACTATCGATCGGAGTAGCCGTGCGTTAGAATTCCCTCCCAGACTGAATATGATTTTGAGCGAAAGATAATTTTAAAAAATAGTACATGAACATTTCTCCCTCAATTAAAAAACAAAACAAAACAATCGGCAGAGTTAAATGTCATGTGTTGAATCTCATTAAATAGAAAATCTATTTTCATTATATATTATAAGATTTTTTTGTGTGCAAAACACGAGCCGTCACTAACATGTATAACAAAGGACTTGAGAAATAAACATTTCGTTTGCTTTCGTGATGCTTGAGGTCCTTAATTCTTCCACTACGTTTGTTGACCCTGAAAATAATATTTCCCCATAAATGTTCTGGTTGAAATTTGAGAAAAAAATTGTTTGCTCTTTCTTTAACGAAGGAAGAACTTTTCACAAAGGCATTTCCGAAGGAAAAATTAACCACTCCTAATCTTTCAAGTTTCGTAACCTCAGATGCAAGTATTTTAAAATTCTTGTAATGTATTAAATATCTGTTATTACAGTAGAACTATAACGGCGTCTAATATTAATGCGTAGAAAATCCTTTAATTACAGTATATCTATGAATGAACCTTGCACATCTTCCGAAGGTTTTTGGACCAATCAGGGATGTCGTCATGTATGACGCAACTATGACGTGTAAGTATTGTGACGCAGGTAAACGAAGACGTGTGGACGTGTCCTCCCTCCTCCCATTTCGAGTATTTTTAACAACTCACCGTTGTTGTGAAGCAATTTCGCGGAGCTCCGCATATTCGTGTGTTGTTGGAGAATATTTTTGGTCGGACCTGATTATTGTGGCATTACGAAGTACCAATGGCACCAACGATTAAAACCTTCCTAAATACGTTCAATAACAGGCTGTGAGTATACGTGTTGAATGTCATATGAAAAATATGGAGAATGATGAAATAAGACGTCAAACAAGGCTAACACTTTTTGTATAATCTTAAGTTAATCAGCACTATATCTTGTAATGTATAAATAAAAACGAATTTTGATATATTCAAAAACTGACTTACGATTTTGATGTTTACGAAGCCATTTTGATCTAACTAGAGCAATTATCTACTATAATAGTGCTTAGTCAGTGTGACGCAAAATTGATTTCTAGTGTTAAATTGTAATTGCGTTGAAGAGTAACTAAAGTATTGAATTATTATATTTATTTATATTTTATTTTGGCGTTCATTAAAAACAAAAGTCTTGTATTGAATTATCAGTATATTTGTCATACCAGGCATATATTTTAGAAAACCTTGCAATATTAAAGGAACAGGCCCTAGCGCAAATCATGAATTCACCTTTTAAAAAAAAAGTGTAACAATAATTAACCATGTCCACATGTAAAAATGACACGTGTATCATGAACATCTTTAGTTTCTTTGAATTGTAGCCAAATTACAGAAATGCTGAAAATGAAGTTCCATTTCTTCTACTCTTACACTTTATTCTAGAATCTAATACATTACAGTTTGTTGTCAAAGTGATAAATGTTTCCAAAAGTCTTGCAGAAACTTTTTAACCAAATATTCTGTTGAACTGATGTGCACATGCATTTCATATTAAAGAAATTAAGACCAGAAGTATTATTTAATAGTGATTTCATTGTGCTAAAACTGTCACATAAATCATTAGACACTAGGTGAACTGTTTAAAGTTATTAGATATGAAAGTTATGATGTTGATAAATAGTACCAATGTTATCAAGTCTAAAGTTAATTATAGTGGTGATTAGCAATGTGTTCTTTAAATTTATTTAACATAATCTAGTTCTATGGGGTGACGTCCAAAAGATTCTTTTTTAGAAATTAAAATCTTTTAAAAATTATGAATAAATTATTACTTTAATAACATTTTTGAAGCATATAACACATTTTATTAGTATTAGTTTTTTTTTTAAATTTTCCCCAGTATTGCTTATTGAAAAATGTGTAATAATTAATAAAACTAAGTAGACTATGAAACTAGAGATTAATTCATCATTACACTCTCAAGTATACTTTTTTTGAAGTTCCATCCTTCCTCCTCCAGAGCCACACTGATAAACATTGTAAAATTTAAAAAAAATCAGAATTACTTATTTACATTATTTATTTAAGCAATTTGTAAATGTTTTTATACTATTATATAGTAATACTAAAAATGCTTAATGGCTTATTGACCCTTTTGACTACAGTTCACATCAAGTTGCTGGGAAGAAGAAAAGTAGTCGAATTTTGATTGAAAGTGCTAATACATTTGACAGAATAGTAAAGCAAAGGTTTGACTTAAATATTATTAAACATTAAATGTCAAGTAAGGGATAAAATAAACTAGAAGAGCTTATAAGATTCACTCTTTCTTTCCAGCAGCTTTTTTTAAATCACATTTTTGAGGTTTAGTTCTTTTTCAAGTATGAAGTTTTCATAATTGTAGAAAAACATCTCTTTTAAGAGCAGACTTTTCAAATCATTCTTCTCCATCAAAAACATATTAAAAATGTATTATAGTCATTTTGGTGCATTTCTAATGGTAGCACTAATGGGTATTTAGTAAATGTAATTTTTTTTTCTCCAGAGAGGAACCTGTGAGACAACACCTGAAAAATGTTTACGCCTGCTTGACATTGTCAACCATATCAGCAGGTGTAGGTGCTTATGTACACATCTTTACAGAATTGCTTTCCGCTGGCCTATTTGCAGTTATAGCAGCTCTGGGTCTTGTTACTGCCCTTGTGGCAACCCCTGATAATGGCAAGAACAGAAAATTACGCCTTGGATATCTCTTGGGATTTGCTTTTTTTTCAGGTTTGTAAAAACTTCCACGCAGGGCCACCTTTCTTAGCATCAGAGGCCTTGGGCAAAGCAATGCAACATGCCCTGTTGGGGCATGATCATTGAGGCAAATGTCTAATATAATATCTACATATTATTGTGATAAATATAAATAATATCTTCATATTTTTTTATTGATATAATGATATATAAACTTTTCTTTTTGTTTATTTAACAAGAAAAAGAAGTTTAATATAATGCACGAATATTCTGGATCGCGGTTATTAGTCACAGTTCCATTCAAAGCCTTAAAACATTTGAATTTACTGGCATTTTGAAATATTTTATTTCTATCTTCAGGGCTATAATACACACAACAGTTCTGTTAATCCATTAGACTGAGACAAAAATTAATATATATTAAAATCTGTTGACTATTCATTTTTAAATTGTAAGATGCCAACCTTATACATAGATTATATTACATCAATCTATCTATAACAATACTTGGTCTAAATAATCTATCTCTAATCAATAAATTAATATTCTCCACTTAATAGTATTCCAACTTATACTTATAGTATTATACTTTTACTTATTCCAACTTAGTACTTATAGTATCTCCAACAATACTTGGTTGTGATAAAATCCAATTCACACATCTCCAGTGCAGGCCAAAGCATTGTGGAAAATGAAGTCACAAAATGATGTGAAGCTGTGCAAAAGGTCCTTTTGTTCTAGTTCCCTCCTAATGCCTATTGCCATTTTTTAAATTTTAATTCTTTGTTATGGGCTTGTGATATTTTTTTCATGATGAATAGATTAATTAATTAATAAATAGTATTTCTGTGTTTCTGAGAATGCAGAATTTTGAGATAGTTTCTACTGAAAAGGTTGAGTTTTCGAGAAACTTTATAAAACATTATTTGAAGCACATGTACTCATCAATATAATAATGTGAACAATTCAGAGATAATGTAAATGTTAACAATGTCAGAAACAAGTCAAAAAAATTACATTTTTGTAATTTTTGAAAAACAAAAGAATAGAGTAATATGGGGTTTGTCATTTCATATGGTACATTTAGTACTACCCCTACCAAAAGTTCAAAGAAAAAATTTGGAGCCTTTTGGAGAAAATCTTGTTTTTTGTAATTTCTTTATTGCTTATATTGCTTGCCATGTTGCGTGAAAACTAATAAAAGTTTTTAAAAATGTACATGACCCTAATGAAAGAACTAATATTATTTAACAAATTTCATTTAAAGGAAATATCTGTATCTTCAATTTTGTTGTTGAAAGAAGACACCAAACAAAATTCATATTTTTGAAACTTTTGAAAATTCAGAGTTAATCCTGAAAATTGGTCCTATGTCACCTTTATAAGTGTACTTTACTCTATTTAAAGAAAAAATTTGGAGCCGTTTTTGAGAAAATTTTGAAAATGTTCCATGGGCTTCATGTAAAGTAACCTCAAATTGAGAAAATCTCAAAGCTTCAACTTGAGCTAAATGGTCATGGTTTTCTTCAATTTAGAAAAAATCTAATGCATGGTTAAGTGCCAGTGGTGTTCACAGACAGACAGACATACGGATGTTTTGCAGGGTACCATCATTTTGGTATCAGTAGACCCCAAAACGTGTATTTCCGTTAAAAACTCAAAATCGATTTTCCACAGCATTCCCAATACATACGTATATACATACATATACGGGCAAATAATAAATTAAAATAAAGTGGTATTCATAACCAGTCAATAAGTGAGAGTAAATTTTAAAAGAAAGTATGTATACAATTTTAAAAGACAATTGTGTACAATTGAAGACTGCTTTTGCAGCGTCACTGTCAAAAAAGTTTAATTCTTGGTCCAAGTTGTTGAACTTGCATGCCAATCGATTCTAGGCATCACAGAAAACGATATCAGTTCTGTTGTTCAATGGTAAAGATGACTGACACTTCCAACTTCTGTGATCCAGAGCATCAAACAATGATATAAATTTATATTTGCAATATTTCCTGAGGGCTGGTAATTTTTGTTTTTTGCTCAATAAATTAACAATTAGACTGGAAATGTAGGCCACAGCGAGAACAGCACAAGGTTCACTTTTGCACGGCTTCAGTGCATAGTGTTGATCATTCATTTCAGCGATCTCTTAAGCTGCAGTGGATTTGGGAAAAAGGTCATACTTCTCACAACCAAATATTCTTGGAGATAGGTTGATAATCTGTGTAGAAATTTGGGTCCTTGTGATTTATTTATGTGTAGTCATCGGATTTTAATGTAACTTGAATGTTTTGTTTGCGGATATACGGAAATGTCAGCAAACTGAAACATGTCAATGTTTTGAAATGAACCATGACCAAATCCCATGATCTGGAACATCCTTGAATTTACTTGTATAGTTGTGAATTTACACATGTTTAATATAATGCATGTAAAATTGTGAAAATTGGTAATTTAAACTCATTGGAAACACTGTATTTTTATTAAAAATGCAAAACTAATTACAAGCTGCCTCCCGCACTACAAAAATTTGGAATTTGGGCACTTGTTTTTGTATGTTATGAAAAATAATATTTAAACAACACTATCTTCACATATCTATATGACATAATTTTGAAGAAAATAAATACATTTCTGCAGAGCCCTGAGGCCCCTGATAGTGCTCTCAATAAGCACTGATTCAATGAAGTGCTTACTTTGATTATTAGTAATTTATATCATTTAATGTTTATTTGTATTCAATTTGCATTGTTATTGCTTTCCTTTTCTGTATTGCAGGATTGGGGATGGGTCCACTCCTGGAGCAAGTTATCATGATAGACCCAAGCATAATTGTCACTGCTCTGATTGGTACTTGTGTTGTTTTCACTTCTTTTACAATTTGTTCTCTTCTTGCTGAGCGAGGACGTTGGCTCTATATTGGTAGCACCCTAATGACAGTACTTAGTTCAATGCTTATTCTATCTCTTGCCAACATTTTCCTCGGCTCAACACTGGTTTTCCAGGTCTGTTTTTAATATTTAACAGTTGATATAATTTTGTAACAAAATTGTTGTAGCATAACAAACAAATTGAAAACCAACAAGTTCAAAGTTAATGTTATATTTTTATTGCAGCTTTATTTGTATGCTGGGCTGGCATTGATGTGTGGATTTGTACTGTATGACACACAGTTGATAATTGAAAAGCGTAGACATGGAGACAAAGATTTTGTTGGCCATTCTGTAGATTTGTTTGTAGACCTTATTGGAATATTCCGTCGTCTGGTTATAATTCTGACACAGAAGGTAAATATTAAAAAAGTAATATACCTAATATACTTTTTTGACTTTATTTCCATTTGAATCAAAATGTTTTTCATATTTTTCTAACCTGAATCCTTTATTTTTTCAGGAACAACAGAAACGTAATCGCAGAGACTGAAGTATCCTCTATATTGCAAAATACCATGGAGTATTATGAAATTTTGCAATTAATGTATAAAAGTTCTAGTGTGATACTGTAAATTGTTTATTGATAAGTACCTTATTTGAGTTTCAGAAATGCATTATCTGGCAGGACTTTGTCAAAATTTACAATTCTTCCCTTACTTCATTTTCAAACGAAAAGTAAAGACTATTTCTAGAGGATGAAAGATTAGTGTATGACCCTTCGAGATAGGCTAATATGTAATATTACTGAATACAATTTTAGAATGATTGAATTAAAGTACTCTGCCAAGCTAATATTTTGGAAGTGTGTAATGTAAAATATTCCTGTTATATTACTGAATATTTGTACTCTGTATAATGATACAAATCTTTTGAATAAATTTTACTATCCATCCTTTGAAAATTAAATTTTTATTTATTCTTTATTTTTTGCTCATTAACAGGCAATTTTATTTCATATTTTACAAAATAGTGAACAAAATGTAGTCATTCATTTTAATATATTTATAAATTAAAATTTACATTACAAACTTAATATTAATAAATATAAAAGTGTAAGCAAAAAACAAACAAATGGTGCTAAAACAGCATGTTTTTTATCTCTCTTAGTAATTGTTATGTAACACGATAATAATACGGGGACAAACACCAGAGGTTAAACAAACATTCAAAATACAAAAGAGAATTACTCGAACAATAACAAATACAAAAAGAACAGAGTCCAGCAGACCTCATTTCAAAATACATAACATACTTCTCCTACCCTTTTTTTTTTATTTATGAAGTTACCACGCTTGTAAAGAAAAATCTAGTGAACAATGTTACACTTCACAAATTTAACTCAAGCTTACCCCCCTATACAAGGCAAGCATGTAACCTTCACCAACCAATGTGTACAAGCACGTTATACCAAAAGAGTATTTTCTCTTCAGGTTTACAATTCTTCAACAAATTACCAATACATTTAAGAAACACAACAGGCTTGTACAACTTCAAGAAAAAACTCAAATACTTCATTGGAGAAAAACTTTTTTATAGCATTCAGGAATACCTCAATGACTAAACACATGCAATGTGATTAGTCACTAGTAGGTGCTGCAGTAGGACTAGGTGTAGGGTAGCAGGTGCTGCAGTAGGGCTAGGTGTAGAAATAAGAAAAAACGTGGCCATAATCTGCCTCTTCCTCACCATTTCAAGATTTAATAAAGGAATATGCTAATACTGTTAAATCATATGTAGCTGTTACCATAATTGTTATCATGTACTGTTAGTATTACTATTAATTTTATTTTATAAGTAATGTTATCTATTATATTTATTATTATAATAAGTAGCAGTAAAATCACTATACCAAGAAAATGATATTTTGAAAAATGAAACGTACAAATCTTGACATGTTAAAGTATTTTCAATTAAATTAAAGAAAGTTAAATGTTCGTCTATTTGCTACTAAAAATAACTATCTACTACGTAATATCTTAATATATCTGTAACAAGTATTGTAGTATAATCTCTAGGCCAATGACCCCATCTTGATCAGGTTTTTGTCCAGTTTCCCTGGTCCTTTGAGCATATGCTGATGTGGTCCCTTCTTTTGCTTCTGGACAATAAAAATAAATAAAACTTCACTCACTGCTCCCAAGAAGATGTACGCGATTGTACTCCCTCTAAATATATATTTGACTTGTCATACAAGATTATAATTGTATATGTGACTCAATAAATATTATTATTATAATTATTAATACTATTTATACCACAATTTCTCTCTGAATTACTTTTTGCAAAACTCCTTTCAAAATCATAGAACTAATGGTGTAAATAAATAAGCAGAATGCAAGAAAATTATATATTTAAAAGTTAATAAATGATACAATGCTGATAGCATTTTCAAACAAGTGCAAATAGATAGAAAATATACAATAGTAATTGATAACATTATGGTATTGTAATATTGAACTAATATATAAAAGTATTCATTTTCATTACTGCGAATGAGCAGACTTCATCATTGACTTTGTTATCTGAGTGGCAGTTCAACAATGGTTAACAACAACCGACAATGACCGCTCATCTGTTAATTTGCACATTTAACACAATTAAAAGATGCAATTTAAAATGAAATAACAAAAAAAAATAATAGATAATAATAAAGTGAAATATGAAATAATATACAAATTCTAACTTGTGTAGCATCCAACTGCTTCAATTGGGAGCAAGCAACTGAAGAATTAAAATATTTTTTTCATATTTATTTCAAATAGATTTTAAATAATTTTTAAGAGATAAATGTGTAAACATATCATTAAAGCTCCAATCTAAATAACAAACAAATAAATATGAAATAATAAACATTCTAACTTACATAACACCCAACTGCCTCAAAACACTTCTAAAATTACGATCAAGAAGCACAGTATTTTCAGGGTGGGCGACTAACAGACACCCAAATACTCCAAAACTACTCATATTTTCGAAAAATTCAACATGACATTATTTGAAAATCTGTTTTTAATGAACATATTTCATTACGAAAAAAATTGTATCTTTATAATTGTAATTGTAGGAAGACGCAAAACTTTTGAATTTTTTCAGTTGTTGAAAAATCGGAGACTAACACAAGACCTGCACTATTTTCGTAAATGTCCTTCAAACTAATCAAATTTTCAACAAAAACGGTGGAGCCGTTTTAAAAAAAATTTTTTAACAAAAGTTTAAAATTGCCTATATTTCACACGCAACATTACGCAAAAATACTCAAATTTTCGAAAAATTGTTCGTGAACTTATTTCAAAATCTTTCTTTATGGAACAGACTTTATTAAGGGGAAAAATCTCTGTCTTTAATGTTTTAGTTGTAGGAAGACGCCGAAAAATATTTTGAACTTTTTCAATTTTCGAAAAATCAGTTTTCAACCAACATGAGACCTGCGCCATTCTCCTACAAAAGACAGGCTCCAACAACAAAGTTTAATCAAAATTGATTATTTTTATTTTTTATAAATATCCCAAGAGCTACAAGTAAAGTACTCCGTGTCTACATCACGTATCAGAGGATTTATTTCTCTAAATTTCGCATTTGGATTTATCCACTTTTTCGTTACCAGGGCCCTGTAATAACAGTCATTGCCGAACATTCACGTTTTTTTCGCGCAGCATTTACATAACTCTCTTTTCTTAAACGCAAAAAAGTAAAAAAACAATCAGAGTATTATTCAAATTCAATATACTTTGTACTCTTTCCAAAAAAGAATTTGTAGTTCGCATAAATTGATTTTCGCCTTATTTGCTGATTTATACATCATGCTAATGGGGTTGTTAGCAATGTAGTGCAGATTTAAAAACGTTAAATATTTCATTACTCCTGGAATAGAAGTTTGGTTTTTAAAATTCTAATTCATTGAACAAGAATGGACAATCTCTATCACCCACAATTACAATCTTCAACAGAAAAATCAAAATGAGTCAAATGTCTATAGGGTTTTAGAGACTGAATACGAAGCCGTAATGCTATTTTGATATTCATGATTAGAGAACGGATAAATACGGACTAAAAATATACGAAATATGTAGTTATTTTTTTTATCAAAAACATGGAGTTAAAAATGGACTTAATATAATAAAAAATGACTACGGTAAAATAATATCTTATCGGCAGTTGATAATTCGTCTTTAAATTCTGAAATATAAATTCTAATTTTACGCTGGCTAACTGTGCTACTAATGGCATTTTACACTGGCTTCGTAGAGATATTAACAGAACTGAAGCAACATATAGTATTCTGACTGGATTGTGACCGACAATGAGGATTGGAGTTTAATTCTGATGTTCCAGTCGCTGCGTCATGCGATTTCCAGGTGTCAGCCTCAGAAGGACGGTGAGGGGGTAGTGTAGATACAGAGAAAAGATACGTTTCCCGCCATCGAGTTTTGGAGGTTGTCTGTCAAACAAATCATCGCTTCCTCGCCCCCCCCGCCCCCAATCCCCTTCACATCGCGAGACAGACAGACCTAGTGGCGGCTCGTACTTAAGTTGCACGGTTGCACAACCCCCAGATAATCGAATAAGATCGCGTATTATGAATATACATTTTCTTTTTAATGACATTATTTATTCAAGATATTGCAGCAATGTCGATGTATATGAAAACTTTTCTGCCGCTCTCCGGTGCTTGGTGCCTTGCTGGTTGTTACACCATGCTCTTGGCTCGTATTACTGGGTTTACTGCATTTACTCTTTGGCCCTTTGCTTCAACACTAGGAACATACGGCCTTTAGTGACGCAACCAAATGGGTGAGGGACTTGTCCCCGAGCGCTGTCCGAGGAGAATACCAATTCTGTCTTCCTCTGACACTTGCTGCAACTTTATTTTATGAATTTCACATGTTGCTGAAAGTAAACAAGTTCAGTCAATTATTTACTACTCAATGCATTGTTTATGATATTTGGAGAATTTGTTTTCATTTGATATTAGGTTTGTTGATTCAAAATGTACATTTGACAAGTTCTTTGTGTAAAGCTGGCTATATACTCTGTGCTCTTGACTGTGTTACAGAGTTTACTACATTTACTCTTTGGCCCTTCGATTTAACACGGCGAACATAGGCCTTTTTGATTGGGCAACCAAGCGGGTGGCGCTGTCTAGCGCTCCGCGGCGACTGAGGAATCCCATTATTCTTTGTCCGACTCGCTGGAACGAAAGTTAATGAATTTCGCTAGTTATTGAAAGTACACAAGTCTAGTCAATTATTGACGGCATTTAATGCAATATTTATTATGTTTAGATAATTTAGTTTCATTTATATTAGATATATTGATTTAAAATGTACCCATGATGAATTCTTTGTGTAAATTTGGCCGTTCTGGACAGAAGTTATTTTCTCGGTAGATATTTCCGCTTGCAGTAGCCTGCAGTAACACATGGAGGGTGCTGCGCTGGTAGAAATACGAGCTACTGAAGTCAAATAGTATAAAAGATATTAATGGAAACTCGGGCAAATGCGCATGAACAGCATGAGCGACTAGTGACCCTGCTGCTTCCTAGTATAGGACTCCAATAGTACACAACCGTTTGTACAATTTATTTTGTCATTACTTTTTATGGCAGAAATGGAGATGTATTTGCTCTCTATTTATTAATATTATTTTCTAATAAAGTTAAAACTTTAAATATTTCTAGATTGCTCCGATCAATATCATTAAGACTTCTATTAGCATGAAGGGCAAACTCGAATGGGAGAGAAACAAGACTTTTCTGGGAAAAATAATAAGATTTTTTAATTGAAAAAAGTAAGTACTCTGAACTTTTAAATATGCATTATTTTTTTCAATTTAATATTTTTGGTATTCACAGTTTTGCTCAAACTGTCATTTTTTATTAACACATGCTTTAATTAAAACATTGAAGT